AGCACAACTGGTTTTCCTCTTGATGGTTTGGGTTTGTGAAGGTCGCAGCTCACGGATCTATTGGCGCCGAGGCAGAGGCTGAGATGCTGCATTTATTTAGGTATCCTTTAAAATTGTATTAAAGTGGCAAAATGTAAGATTTTCAAGTCATCATTAAAGGGCCCTAATCTGACAAAAGGCATTAATAAAACATGCTCTTTTCCAATACTTCTTTAACTGAAAACAGAAGTTCAGAGATATTTGGATTTTAAAAGATTTACGGCCCCTACATCCTGAGTCAGGGAGAGTGGGAGAGGACTACAGAATATTGACCGCATTCGATTGGGTGAATTACAAGAAACAGTTTGCAAAGCTCATCCAGAGAGGTGTGCCCTGTATGTTGTGTGTATTTTAACTTATTAGTACAGTCAACAAACCAAGTTAACAGGGGGAACAGTGTATCTGCACCATTTAGAGTTGGAAACAGAGTCAGACAAGGGGCTATTCTGTCCCCACTTTTGTTTCATGTTTATATCAATCAATCAATCTATTTATAAAGCACATTTCATACAGAAGATGCAACACAAAGTTCTTTACAGGTTAAAAACAATCCTGCCCATGACCCCTCCAACCACCCAGCAGACCCACCCCAAACCACACGTATTAACTCATTGACTGTCATTGGCGTTGTTATAGAAATATTTTAGTAAAGCAATCTGAATTAACACCTAATAGTTATGAGTGTAAGTTATTAACTAATAGTCAACTCTGGATTCAGATACAGGCCATAATGCTCTGTTGTAGACGTGCTGCATCATGTCTTTGACCTTGGTCATAGAACAATATGTTCAGTTCACAAGCAGATTGTTACATCTATCAGAGTTGTATCAGCGTTAGGAGGCGTAAAGAGAAGCCTTGAGCAACACATATCAATGTTGACTTCATTTATGTAATATCTAGAGTAGATATATGTTTGTTTACTCTGGTCTATTTAATGTACTGTCATTTCCTCAATCGTGGCAGTCGATCCCCAACGGCTGCCCGGTGGTATTGGTATCGGTTCTGTTATTCATTGTAATTGTGCACATTTACTAATGAATAAACTCACACTTTGTTTGGAATTGCGGCTCTGGGTTGTTTACATTATTCTACTCTTGTTATGTGCAGAATTTCTATAACAGCGTATTTGTCTGAGACCCTCTATTCGACTGGAGATTACAAGACAATAAAAATTGCTAGAAACAAACTTATTTTGCTGATGAGAAAAGACAATCCAGTCTTTCAGAATCTGGTTTCACATTTTACATAGTCTTAGGATATAATATTCTGTGGGTCTTGAGGATCGGTGAAATCATCAAAAACAGCAGCAGCCAATGAGTTATGCTCACACACACGCTATACATGTGTCGTGTCTTTTTATTTCTTTTATGAGACTTTTGGTGCAATGATGTTAAACTAAAATAAAATGAATAAAAAACACCTCTAAGGAATACATTTAAAATTAAAATCAAAATAGAGTTACAGTTACTATTTACAATATACAAGTGCACATGGTGCACACCATGTAAGGTGACAGCAGTACAGTGAAGTAAAGTGACTTTAAAGTGCGACTGTTTAAATCTCACTGCAAACTGTACATGGCCCACCTGTGGACTCTCTGTAAAAGAGCCAGTCTGCACAAGCTGAAAGTGGCCTATGATGACGCTTTTCGAGTGCTTATGAGAAAGCCACGTTGGACCAGTGCATCTTAGCTGTTTGTCACCTCACAAGTGAACACTTTACAGACTGTGCTGAGGAGCCTTATGTACAGCTTCATTTGTCGACTGAACAAATCAGAAAATGTAATATTCGCGATGACAAATATCAGGTGCAGTGCCACTCGAGTTCAGAACAAGATGTGTTGTCTTTTAAAATCAAAACTGTTTTGTCTTGTGTGTGTGTATGTTTTGTCTTGTGCGTGTGTATGTTTTGTCTTGTGTGTGTGTATGTTTTGTCTTGTGTGTGTGTATGTTTTGTCTTGTGTGTGTGTATGTTTTACCAATCAGAAAGTTTGTGATCCGGGTTTCCAGAACTCACCGCGTCGAGCTAATCTCACTGGTAAAGTAATGTGTGGCCGTAACTTTGCATCTTTAATTTCAGTACCTTTAGCAGTAATTGTTGGAACCCAAATTGGTTTTATAACCTCAGTGATGCGTGACCTCCGTACACAGATGAATCCAAGCATGAGAAATGTAAGAAATCCAATACATAGTTGCCACAATATCGGCAGCAGACTTCCGGTCACTGTTTTGTATGACACTCCGCACTTATATACATAGACAAACTAATTAGAATAAGTGTAATTAGAAGAATGCATATTTTATTAATGGACAAAAATGACTTCTCAGAAGTTGAAGTCATACAGGGAGAGCCTCCAGGTAAAGGAACGACAGTGATACAATGTGTTAATGGGACTGATTGCAGGGAGAGATCCATAGACGAAGTGCTTACCCGCTGTCACGTACATTAGTTTAGTTTAGTTTAGTCTTTATTTGAAGGGACAGTGCACAGAGACATTAAGCTCAAAGACAGATATGTTCTGCACCAGATTAAAGCCAAGCAGCTGTTTCCATCTGCAGTCCCTGGTTACATCAATAAAATACATGGATACTAACGGCTTATTAACCGAGGTCGAGGGCTGTCCAGAGAAATATCAGACCGCGGCCTTAATGTACAGACCGAGCCGTGGCGAGGTTTGTGCAAAAAGGCCAAGGTCTGATATTTCTCTGCACAGACCGAGCAAACGAGGTTAATAAATGTTATATGACTCTCGTCTGTGTCTTTACCAATGCTTTTGGGATATTTGTGAAGTATGTTCATGTCCGACTTGGTTTTGTGTGATACGGGCTGTGGACCGATTGTCATGGTAACGGTCCGAGGAAAGATATCAAATGTGATACGCGCTTTTCGGACCAATTGTCATGGTAACGGTCCGAGATGGGAAAATATCAGACCGGTAATCAGCCAATCAGAGCGCGCGTACGGTCCAAGTCATATAATAAAGTTATGTACAATCCTAAAAAAATAACATTGCAATACAACACATTCTCTCTAATACAGACACACACACATTTCGCCTCATACCTGTTTGTTAAAACCACACTTCATTCACAGCATCACACCTACACAATACACATGTCACAACCACACATTCAGATGATACATTCACACATTCAGTACATTTCTAATCATACATAGATCACACACATCAGTTTCTCATCATACATAGATCACACACATCAGTTTCTCATCATACATAGATCACACGCATCAGTTTCTCATCATACATAGTTCACACGCATCAGTTTCTCATCATACATAGATCACACACCTCAGTTTCTCATCATACATAGATCACACGCATCAGTTTCTCATCATACATAGATCACACGCATCAGTTTCTCATCATACATAGATCACACACATCAGTTTCTCATCATACATAGATCACACACATCAGTTTCTCATCATACATAGATCACACACATCAGTTTCTCATCATACATAGATCACACACATCAGTTTCTCATCATACATAGATCACACACATCAGTTTCTCATCATACATAGATCACACACATCAGTTTCTCATCATACATAGATCACACGCATCAGTTTCTCATCATACATAGATCACACACATCAGTCGTCCTGGTCACACACCTCAGGGTTCGTGTGAGCAGCTTTGATTGCTCCATAACCATTTTTTAAGTTCTACTGTAAATGTAGGATAGTCTGATTGACTCTTCAGGTCTGTAGTGAGCTCGTTCCATTCCTTTATTGCTTTATATGAAAATGCTGATTGGGCAAAAGCAGTTTTACACCTGGGTATGCTGCACTGCCCCCTGGTGGAGGCTCGTGTGGTTCTAGTTGTAGCAGAAGATGTGAACTGAACAAAGTGTTTGAGTGGAGCTGGTACTGTCATGGTGTGGATTTTATTTTGGACTTTAGCTTTACCAGTCCAGGACCAGACCAGACCTGAACCAGAGACCAGACCAGGACCAGACCAGACCTGAACCAGAGACCAGACCAGATGACGTCAGCGGCCTTCCTGTTTTTTTATATGCTTTACTTAAAACTCTGTATTTGATTGTAAAGATAATTAAAATACAGATTTTAAATGAATCTATGTCTTCTTTCTCTTCATCAAATTGGAAACACGTCTTTTTTTAGACAATAGACTTTAAGGGGGCTTTTCTTTCCCAGTGCAGGTTTTTAAGACTCAAAATACTTCACTCTTTCAGTTAAATCCTTGCTTGTTTGTAAGTAAGTAATGTTTATTTATATAGCGCCTTTCACAGACCAGAGTCACAAATCACTTCACAATTGTTCTGAGCACTTGTCTCTCACTCCACACAGAGATGGGAGCGGGGCCAGTACAGAACTACTGTTGATGTTTTTAGTGGTAGGGGAAACCGGAGCACCTGGAGGAAACCTACTCAGACAGGGGGAGAACATACAAACTAAAATAACAGTGTATCCCTCGTGCTATCCTCGGATCAAATTCTATAAAATTAGAATATAGTTCATGTATTTCTGAAATCCAACTTAAAGTAATAATAATAATAATAATCTTTATTTGTTCAGCACTTGTAAAACACAATGTTTACAAAGTGCTGCAGAGTCAGCATAATAAACAATAAAACAGTCATAATACAATAAGTCAAAAAAATTAGATACAGTAGATACATGAAAACAAAGCAGACTGAGCAAAACACAAGAAGAAAGTCTGGACAGAGAAGGCTCAGTTCCCTTCGTCCGGAGCCTCGACCTTGGAACAGTCACAGGGACCTGCCCGAGGATCTAAGGCTAATTACAACAAGTCCTTGTTTGTAATTCTGTTGATTGCAACCATATATTTAATAATAAGGACTTGTTTTGTATCTAATAGAATTCATAACTGGACATAACTCAAAAGCTTCCAGATTTCTCATCCAAGAGACAGAACCATTTTCATTTTCTTTGTCCTCTTTTCTCCAGGTATGCGTCCTAGACCGGGCACAGATGAGGACGCAGACGCAGCAAAGAAGACGTTTGGAAATCTGGGATATAAAGTCACTGTGCACAAGGACCTCACCAAGAAACAGATAGAGACAGAGCTGGAGAAAGGTCATTTTATAATCTTGTAAAAAATAACTAGTGGTTTTATTGGTGTTAGCGTCTGTGACCTGTAGCTACGTATTCAAATCTCTGCTTAATGTGTGTGTGAGAAACACTCAATGCCGTTTTTGATGATTTCACTGATTTTTTTTAAGACCCACAGACTTTTGTGTGCTATGACTATGTGAAATATGAAACCAGATTCTGAAAGATTGAATTGTCTACTTTCATCAGCAAAAAGAAGTTGGTTTCTAGCTTGTTTTGTTCTCCTGTAATCCCCAGTCGAGTGGAGGGAAGTTTGACATAAATCCCCGGTTGTGGTCTTTCAGTAAATAATCAAAAAATTTGAGTTCTTAAACCTTTCCCTGTGTTTTTTTCTCAGTGTCTAACCAGGACCACAGTAAAAACGCATCTTTTGTTTGTATGATTCTGAGCCATGGAAATGAGGATGGAATCTTTGGGACGGATAAACTCATCACCCTGGAAGATATCACCAAATATTTTAAAGGTGATAAATGCAAGACCCTCGTAGGAAAACCCAAACTCTTCTTTATCCAGGTGAGTTTCTCCTTTACCTTCAATCCTATAACCCAGGCATGTCCAAACTCAGGCCCTCTGCTGCTAACACAAAGTCACCATTGTGTCATCCAGCCAACTTCAGCTCCACCACTACAGTCATGCTCTACCTGGGTGTAAAGCTCAAACCCTGTGGAATCCATTACAATCCATCTAGTGTTATTTACTGACATTTTTATTAGGATTTTGTCCCAACATTCCATTCAAAATGCAGCTGTGGCGTCAATCTAACTGACTTTGTGAAATTTTCGAATGTGAGCGCTGGCCTCGCTCTCTCTGCTCGCCCTCCCCGCACCCACGAAGCTATCACCCCCCACTACCCCCCTCCCACTCAGCCTGTGCTCACATGCTACATGTATATGGATCACACATTTGAAAGTGGCGTGACCATAGAACGATAGAACCGGGAAGTGCGGAGGAACGAGACTTTCTTTTGGCTGTTTTGCTGAGTAAGCAGTAACCGGTAACGAAGACACAGGAAGTTTCAGGTTAGCCTCCGCCGCTTGTTTACCTCAGCTGTCTGTGCTAACCACAGACCTGTAGCTTTTCTCAAGGAAGTGGGGGCCAGAGGTCCGCTGTGATTGGTCACAATCTGGACCTGAAACACATTCTCTTCCTTGTTGCACCAAAACTCAAACTAAAATTAAAATCTGCCCTGATTATCCTTCAAAAGGACGTATATCCCAATGCACTGCATGGATTGATTTTTTGTAATGAATACAAAAATAAAGTGAGGTAATGCAGCTTTAAATTCCAAAATCCAGTCAATCCAGCTCGTATACAGTTTTTTGAATCCAGGTCGCCGGCCCTAGGTCACATCTGATGAGCTAAACTCTCACTAAAATGTTTGGACACCCCAGTTTTTGTTACATTTTGGGCCAATGCCGATGTTTCTTCTTTTTGTTATTTAAATATTTTTTGGCGGCTTCAGTTTTCCGCCTCATGCTTTTCAAACTTCCGATTCTTTGTGGGACATGATTTTCAAGCAGCTCTTGGAATCTCACTGAACACTTCCAAACTGCATAACGCTGATCTTTCTCTGATACTGTAAAAAATCTCCACTTGGCTTCTTCTACTGAGGAAAGTACGCGTACGCCCCCTACTGGTGTCTCTTGGCACGCGCCACCATCGACCAATGTCATTTTTATTTGCCGATGGTCGATGGTAGTTAATCCCTAATTTCTAAAAGTAAGAACTAGTATTTTATCAATTATTGTTCACAACATTTATGTGAAAGAACACCATGGATCTGTCTGAACATTTCATTGGGTTCTTCCTTCCATCACATCTGTCCTCTTTAGTGCTGGAATCTCTGGATCCCTCACGATACGATACGATGTTATCACAATGTGGCGATACTGCGATTATGAATACATTGCTCAGATACTCGTTCACAATATATATCCTGATATGTCCCAAAGGTTTGTTAAAAGATCATCTTTTACATGTGGTTATTTTTTCTTTACTTACTTTAATGAAGATGGGATGTTATTATTATTTGGTTGTGTTTATCAGCAAAATAAGTTCAGTTGTTTTGAATGATTTATTTTCAAATGTCTTACTGACCTTTGCTGTTTGAGTTTAATCGTTAGAGCAAAATAAATGAGGTGGTTGTTTTCTCAAGATCATTTGTTTTTCAATTTGGTTTTGTCGACAAAGTAGCAATTTGTAGCATTGTTTGTTGTGCTTTTTCAAAGGCATGTCGTGGTAAAAAGTTGGATGAGGGCGTGATCCTCAAAGGTGTGGGAGAGGCAAATGGGCCACTTCAACAGAAGATCCCGGTGGAGGCAGACTTCTTCTACGCCTACGCCACAGCTCCAGGTAACGTCAATGTTCAGAAATGGTCTGTTATTTAAAAACGTTGTTAAGGAAAGAGTTGTTTCTAACTAGAAACAATCACACAAGGCGTTAAATCATAAAGTACATTAAAAAGAAACAGAACTGTTTTTAAACTGGGTTTAAACATGGTCAGAGAAGAAACCTGTCTCACATTTTCAGGAGGATAAAAGCTGCCCCCCCATGTTTAGTTCTGACTCTGGGACCATCAGGAGGCCAGTCCCTGTGCTCCTCAGAGTCCCAGCAGGAGGCCAGTCCCTGTGCTCCTCAGAGTCCCAGCAGGAGGCCAGTCCCTGTGCTCCTCAGAGTCCCAGCAGGAGGCCAGTCCCTGTGCTCCTCAGAGTCCCAGCAGGAGGCCAGTCCCTGTGCTCCTCAGAGTCCCAGCAGGAGGCCAGTCCCTGTGCTCCTCAGAGTCTCAGCAGGAGGCCAGTCCCTGTGCTCCTCAGAGTCTCAGCAGGAGGCCAGTCCCTGTGCTCCTCAGAGTCCCAGCAGGAGGCCAGTCCCTGTGCTCCTCAGAGTCCCAGCAGGAGGCCAGTCCCTGTGCTCCTCAGAGTCCCAGCAGGAGGCCAGTCCCTGTGCTCCTCAGAGTCCCGTCAGGAGGCCAGTCCCTGTGCTCCTCAGAGTCCCAGCAGGAGTCCAGTCCCTGTGCTCCTCAGTGTCCCAGCAGGAGGCCAGTCCCTGTGCTCCTCAGAGTCCCAGCAGGAGGCCAGTCCCTGTGCTCCTCAGAGTCCCAGCAGGAGTCCAGTCCCTGTGCTCCTCAGAGTCCCAGCAGGAGGCCAGTCCCTGTGCTCCTCAGAGTTGGTTCATATGACATTAACATGTCACAGATGTACTTTGAGGTCATGGAGAGACTTGTAACAAGCAGAGCTGCTTAGTCTTTTCTCTGAGCCACAGGAAGCAGAGACCTGGGTCTGGACTAATGTGATCGTACTTCCTGGTTCTAGTTAGAAGTCAGGAAAGTTCCGTCTCCTACTCTCATCTGTGACAAGCTGATTTTACAACCACAATTTTATTCAATTCAATTAAATTGTATTCATTTCAATTTATTATTGTATATTTCTAAATCACAATAGTAGTTATCTCGGTTAACAAAACCGTTCGCCAATTCACCAACACAGATCAGAGAATCAAACAAAAATCACGTAGAGCCTTTGGTCCACAAGGGGCTGATGACTAATGTCCATAAATCTAATGTCATAAATATTTATTTTCTAACTGACTGTGTTAACAGGTTACTACGCATGGAGGGATGAGACAGATGGCTCCTGGTTCATTCAGTCTCTTTGTGGGATCCTTTCAAAACACAAAGACCTGGAGCTGTTGCAGATCATGACTCGAGTGAACAGAAAAGTGGCCTTTGAGTTTGAGTCTTACGAACCCAAAGACCGGAGTTAAGCGGAAAGAAGGAAATCCCCTGCTTCACCTCCATGTTGACCAAAGAATTCTATTTCACTATAAAAGCTTAAATATTAATATTTCAAACCAGGCACATATTCTTGATGCTCTACAGTTCAGGTACATACGATCTCAGCTAAAGACAAACGAGTTCTGTTTTTCTTTTTTCCTTATGACAAAGTATCCAGTAATTATCAAACCTGCTTTTCCTGTAGTCGTTTAACCTGGTTCTGATTGTTTATGGTGTTTGATTATTAAGGGATTTTGGAGAAAGTGAAATGAAATACTCACAGTGAAAATGTGAATGATTTTTGATCAACTTCAATAAAATATGTTTACTGAAGTCATTTGTTATATTTGGACTATTTTAAACACTGACTAATGATTTACATTACAATCATCATAATAAGGAATGGGCCAGAATTCCAGCAGACGTTTGTGAGAAGCTCATGGAAGGACACCAAAAACATGTTCAAAGTATATTAACAACATGTATTTATGACTTTGTAAAAGGTCATTTTCACATTTTGTGGCATTGAGCAAATGTAAAAGCACCTGATCTACATTTGCTACAACTTTAAACACTAGAGGGAGCTGTGCACCTGTTTAAATTGGACAAATCACACATGTGCTACATACACATACAGTGGAGCAAAAAGTATTTAGTCAGCCACCAGTAGAGCAAGTTATCCCACTTTTTAAAGAATTTTTAAAGAATATATTTGCACATTATTGTTGAAAATAAGTATTTAGTCACCTACAAACAAGCAAGATTTGTGGCTCTCACAGACCTGTAACTTCTTTAAAGTGATTGTCTGGAGTTTGTCAGAAAGAGAGACAGAGAGGTACTTGATTTGAAAAAAACGACGCAAGCTCCTCCCCCTTCCTTTCTGATTGGTCTACTTTTAAATGTTAATCTGAGAACACATTAAACATATACATTGCACACACACATGCACCGAGGTTTTCAGAATTATTTGTTAATGTTTTAATGGGAAAAAAAAATCTGATTATGGATATAGGTTCAGTATATAAATGATTATGGATATAGGTTCAGTATATAAATGATTATGGATATAGGTTCAGTATATAAATGATTATGGATATAGGTTCAGTATATAATAGAGGCTTGATTCGGAGGCTCCGCGAAAACAAACAACTGAGCATGAGCAGCTGCGAGCATCAGCGCCGATGATTGACAGCCCTTGGCATGACTCGATTGGTTAACCTCGACAGCACCGTGGATTCTGAACTATAGCTAAGAGCAGGGAAGGCGGGACTTGCCCGTAATATTAGAATTAATAAAATTACTTATTTTATATCAACATTTAAGGCCAGGAGGTCAATTTAACACATTTCCTAAAATTTGCAATTCATTTAGAGTTACAGACTATCACTTTAAGAAACTCTTCTGTCTTCCACTCGTTACCTGTATTAATGGCACCTGTTTGAACTCATCTGTATAAAAGACACCTGTCCACAGCCTCAAACAGTCAGACTCCAAACTCCACTATGGCCAAGACCAAAGAGCTGTCGAAGGACACCAGGAAAATAATTGTAGACCTGCACCAGACTGGGAAGAGTGAATCTACATTAGGCAAGCAGCTTGGTGTGAACAAATCAACTGTGGGAGCAATTATCAGAAAATGGAAGACATACAAGACCACTGATAATCTCCCTCGATCACAAGATCTCATCCCGTGGGGTCAAAATGACCATGAGAACGGTGATCAAAAATCCCAGAACCACTCGGGGGGACCTGGTGAATGACCTGCAGAGAGCTGGGACCAAAGTAACAAAGGTTACCATCAGTAACACACTACGACGACAGGGAATCAAACCCTGCAGTGCCAGACGTGTCCCCCTGCTGAAGCCAGTGCATGTCCAGGCCCGTCTGATGATCCAGAAGATTGGGAGACTGTCATATGGTGAGATGAAACCAAAATAGAATCTTTAGGGAAAAACTCAACTGCCTTATACCTGAGGCACAGGTATTCTAATTGTCCGCAATTCATTGGAATAATAAAAACACACAACATGCATAAAAGTATAAAAACATAAACCTTATTAAAACCCACAACACACCGACAGTATCAATACATTTCCCAACTTTAAAAGATAAGTTTCCTTCACAAATATGTCATTGAAGAAGGATTGCACTGGAAAATAACTGGTACTTTTGAAATATCTGTATGTGTTGTGTACTCTTGTCTTTGTGTATTACTCCTGACTCAGGTACTTCTGAAATTCCATTCCATTTTCTTCCACTTCATCTGTTGCCGGGTCGCGGGTCCAGCAGTCTAAGCAGAGACGCCCAGACTTCCCTATCCACACACACCTCCTCCAGCTCGTCCGGGGGGTGTTCCCAGGCCAGCTGAGAGACATAGTCCCTCCAGTGTGTCCTGGGTCTTCTCCGGGGCCTCCTCCCGGTGGGACGTGCCCAGAACACCTCGGCTGCACCATGCCGGGCTACGTCACAGGTTTCATATTTGTACTATCCATGATGGCTTTGGACTGCGCTTCGTCTCTGACTTGTCACCCACGACCTGTTTGCCGTGGACAGCCTTACCAGGGGCACAAAGCCCCAGACAACATAGCTCCCAGGATCATCCAAGTACTCAAACTCTTACACATGGTAAGACCAGACGTACATGTAGGAAATGATCATGGACCAGAGTTTACACATGGTAAGACCAGACGTACATGTAGGAAATGACCATGGACCAGAGTTTACACATGGTAAGACCAGACGTACATGTAGGAGATGATCATGGACCAGAGTTTACACATGGTAAGACCAGACGTACATGTAGGAAATGACCATGGACCAGAGTTTACACATGGTAAGACCAGACGTACATGTAGGAAATGACCATGGACCAGAGTTTACACATGGTAAGACCAGGCTAGCTAATATTGTATCATTTCACAAAATCCCAAGGCTAAGCTAACAGGCCACGGCCCACTGGTTGAAAAACACTGCTCTAAGCTTCTGTCCGTGTCTCGCTGCGATAGTTTAAAGTCTGATCTCCATGTTTCCTCCAGTGTCTCAGGAGGACCACAGCAAACACGCCTCTTTCGTGTGTGTGATTCTGAGTCACGGGGAAGAGGGCGTGATCTTTGGGACGGACGGGTTTGAAAAGCTCGACGTCCTCACCCGATTTTTTAAAGGAGACAAATGCAAGTCCCTCGTTGGAAAACCCAAACTCTTCTTTATACAGGTCAGTCTCACATGTTTCACGGCAAGACGTTTCCATTCCATCTCATCTCCAGACCTTTCTGTGTGGAGTTTGCATGTTCTCCCTGTGTCTGCTTAGGTTTCCTCCAGGTGCTCCGGTCTCCCAACAATTATAAACATGTAGAATAGAACTCCTCGTGTGTGGAGGGACAATGTTGGAACTATACAGAGGATTGCAGAATTACTAATACTACTTTAACTATTTTCACATAATGTATTGTAAACATGAAATACAGTAAATATGCAAACGTCAAACAATAATTATAAAAATACATTTTATTTATATTGCACCTTACATTTACAGGAAACCTCAAAGTGCTACAGATTAAAATACAAAACCACAAATGACAAAACAAAGAAAAATAATCAGAAGTACATAAATATATCAAAAGAAAAACCGGGTTAAAAGCTGAAAAAAATCCCTAAGAAATAATAAGAAATATTATTCATTCATTTTATTGGTTTATAAATAATGAATTTGAAATGTGAAATATAATATAGAGTAGATAATATATGGTGTAACATGTATGAGCAGTAAAAAAAAACTCTTTGCCTGTAACTCCCTAAACTTTTTTTTTTATTGTTTGTTTATTTGAAAATTACTGGCTGCAAACTTATAAAGAGTTTCATTTCGCTTCAGAAATTGCCAAAACTGATTTATGAGCAACACTTTTGTCTATAAAAATGTCAAAAATCTTCTCTGAGCTTGACGTCGTGGTGCAGTGTTGCGATCACATTTTTACAAGACTGAGACGGGAGCTTTAAGACAAAGAGCTGGAAGTCAATTCTTGTGCCAGAAGTTCCTGATATCAGCGTCTATAGATCCTTGTTTATTGATATCCTTCCAAAGGCGTGTCGCGGGTCTGAGTTTGACGCTGGGATCGAGGCCGATGCAGTAGCCTCTTCAGACTCGTCCACAGTCCGGATCCCCGTGGAGGCAGACTTCCTGTACGCCTACTCCACCGCTCCAGGTCAGTCTCAAACACGTCTGAATGTGTTAAAGGGTCACATCAAAGCTCTAAGTTTTCTAAAGTCACTGGGTTTATCATTCACAAGAAGCCACATAAACATCGTCAAATAGTACATGTATTTTTTTCTTCATGAAGGAAAGAGCAGAGTTGGCAAAAGCCTGAACATGGGCCTCTTGGCTGCATCTCTGATCAGTCTTCGTCTTGTTTGAGATGAAAGTTTGGAGGGACGGCCGGGTCTTGGTAGATTTGCAGTGGTCTGATACTCCTTCCATTTCAATATAATTGCTTGCACAGTGCTCCTTGAGATGTTTAAAGCTTGGGAAATCTTTTTGTATCCAAATCCGGCTTTAAACTTCTCCACAACAGTATCTCGGACCTGCCTGGTGTGTTCCTTTGTCTTCATGGTTCTCTCTGCGCTTTAAACAGAACCCTGAGACTATCAAAGAGCAGGTGCATTTATACGGAGACTTGATTACACACAGGTGCATTCTATTTATCATCATCAGTCATTTAGGACAACATTGGATCATTCAAAGATCCTCACTGAACTTCTGGACTGAGTTTGCTGCACTGAAAGTAAAGGGGCCGAATAATATTGCATTCCCCACTTTTCAGTTTTTTATTTGTTAAAAAAGTTTAAATTATCCAATAAATTTCGTTCCACTTCACGATTGTGTCCCACTTGTTGTTGATTCATGACAAAAAATTACATTTTTATATCTTTATGTTTGAAGTGACATGAGGACTCAAGTTTAAACACAAAACATACTTTTTTCTCAAAATTTGCTAAACTTTGATGTTGACCAGAAAGTATTTGATGTTGCCATATTTGTATATTCACCGAGGGAAATGAAAAATAGGATGCGGATCTTTGCTTTGGTTAAAAAAGACACTTTTTATGCTAATTTCATCATTTTATGACATTTGAAGTTAATTAACACTGATCCAACATTGATATAAAAACAAAACAACCTTTCCTATGTTGTCAGAGTATGGAGGGTTTATTTTTCATTCAGTGTGTGTGTATGTGTGTGTGTAAGTGTATGTATATATATGTGTGTGTATATGTGTTTGTATATGTGTACGTGCGTGTGTGTGTGTGCGTGTTTGTGTGTGTGTGTGCGTGTTTGTGTGTGTAGTCACCGAGGCCTATGCATTAGCATTAGCATTAGCATTCTGTCATCCTAATTTCTTTGTTATGGCTGCGGGAAAATGCTGTAATATACAGTGCATCCGGAAACTATTCACAGGGCTTCAATTTTTTCACTTTTTTTATGTTAGTCTTATTCCAAATTGGGTTCAATTCTTTTTTTTCCTCACCCCATAATGAGATTTTTTGCAAATGTATTACAAATAATCACAAAATGGCTGCTAGAACTAAAGAAGTGTTCCCCAGGTCACCACGGCAACCAGCTTCCTAAAAAGAATTAGAATTAGAATTATCGTCCCTTCTGGTTGCCATGGCAAACATGGTTATGTCATCGATAATGTCACCGTGGCCTTGGAGCTAGGAAGTTCTCCAGGGGCCACCCATCTGTGAAGTCCAGGTCCAAGGAGTCAAGGTCTGCTCAGTGGGGTCGTTTCTAACGGGACGTGGCAAAGACATCCGAAACACGTTCTATAAAGGTTTATACAGGGACTTCAAAGACATGGCTCGCAGGAGTCCTCGACTGGTCGACTCGGGGTATTACGATATGGATGGAAACCCCCGCATCTCATACTCAGACACCAGTCGCAGAAGTTCCAACAGCTTCACAAATATGCGGCGCCACAGCTACCAGCTGGAGGCGAGGAAGGCCGCGAATGTCATCCATGTGTCTGCGCCTGCAGTTCAGCCCAGGTCCCGGTTCAGCTTGGCCTGGTTCATAATCCAGCTTCTCCTTCTTGGCCTTGCTGTGTCCTGGCTGACAATGAAGTTTGCTGTTAATGGTGACGTGCAGCAGCTGCAGAAGGAGGTAAAACATTTGCAGCATCTGGAGGAAGAGGTCGATCATTTGCGTCAGCAGCTTGAGCATCACAAGGCGATGGTGAAAGCTCCTTTAGCCAACTTTGCACTGGAAACTCATGGGGCTCGGGTGACTGCTGTGACTTCCAAGACACTCAAGCAGAAAAATCGTCCGCTTTGGCTCAAATTTCTCGGTCCATACACCGTGATCAAAGGTCATAATTATCCTTTGATTCCTGGACAGTGCTGGGCGTTCTCAGGTCAGACTGGGAGGCTTTCCATAGCTCTACCACTGGAGATCCACATCACCAAAGTAACTGTAGGACACATTTTGAAGGGGCAGTCTCTTACAGGAACAATTGACTCCGCTCCAAAGTCTTTCTCTGTGTATGGACTGAAGGACTTTGGACCAACAGAGGTAAGACTTGGAACATTTGTCTACGACGCAGACGGGGACTCGTTCCAAACATTTGAGATCCTGGAGCAACACAAGGGTGAGACTTTCCGGTCCGTGAGGTTAGAGATTCACGATAACCATGGGCACGATACATTCACCTGTGTATACAGCTTCAGGGTACATGGGGAAATCCCTGAATCCAGCACCACAACGTTCACCAAGTCGACATACAGCTGGTTAGGAGGGATAGCACACCGCCTCCGCCAATCAGCTCAGACATTGTATAATCTCATGAGTTTCACTCAGAGGTTACCGCCAATGACTCAGGCCACACCTATTGAGCCAAAAATGCCAGCAGAAACTATCCCACATGTAACAGAGATTTAAGTCAACTTAAATCTAGAAGGGGACAGGTCGAGGGTTAGGGTTAAGTCATCTTAAATCTATATAATGGGGACAGGGCGAAGGTTAGGGTTAAGTCGGGTGGTTTGTAACTTGTTTATGGACGTGACTTATTTTTGTTTAATTTCTTAGGAGATTTTAATCAGCTGTAGATTCCATTGAAGAGAGGGGTATGACTTGTTCTTGTCCAGCTCTGTAGAAGGAGATTGACCGCTGTTTTAAGGTGACCTGAGAAATGAAACGAAATAAGAAGTGTTCCATGTGACAATCACAACCACAAGACCCCAGACCAGTCTCATCCTTGTGTCGCTGGAGCAACACACAGGTGAGACTTTCTGGTTCAGGAGGTTGGAGATTCACAATAGCCATAGGCACAGTAAATTCAACTGTGTTTATAGCTTCAGGGAACATGGGAAAAACCCTGCTTCCAGCACAAAAACGTCTACAGAGTCGAGACGCAACTTAGAGGAGTTACGCACCGACTCTACCAATCAGCTCAGACATTGAATTATTTCATGAGATTCTCTCTGAGGTTACCGTCAATGTCTGAGACCACACCCAAAGAGCTGGACAGTAGCTCTGAGATTCCAGCAGGAACTGACCCACACGTGACAGTGACTTCAGCTGTATCTGGATGGGAACAGGGCGAGGGCGAGGGTTAAGTCGGGTGGTTTGTAACTTGTTCATGGGCACAACTTTTTTATTTGTTTAATTTTCTTAGGAGACTTTTTTTTATCAGCTATAGATTTCATTGAAGAGAGGTATGGTTCTTGCTCAGCTCTGTAGAAGGAGATTGACAGCTGTTTAAAGGTGACCTGAGAAATTAAACAGATAAAATGGTAAGTGTTCTATGTGACGATTACAACCACAAGACCCCAACCTGACCTGAAAGTCCTCCTCTAGGTCTTGCTCGAGAAACTGAAGCACACTTGAGGTCGGTTTATGTCCCTTTCCCACCTCCTCACACATCTCTAACCCAGTGGACACTACCGAGTGGACACTGCCTTCAACTCCCCAGCCCCCACCATATGGACTAGAGTGGGGTCCCGGCTGCGTCGTACCAGGCGACCTCACGGTTCTTCTTATGGTGCTATTCACGGTGGTTTTTGGACTGTGTTTCGTCTGACTCGTCACCAAAGACCTGTGTACCATGGGAGGCCCAGACAACAAGGCTCCAAGGATCATCGGAGTACTCAAACTCCCCCACCAGTCCGGGGGACAAAAACAATTTAAAAACAATAAACAACCTTATTTCTCTGCAAATCTGTGAATCGTTCAATCATTGGTTTCTCTGTTTAAAAATGAAAATAAAATAGATATTAGTGATGCATATATTACTGTTTGTTTTGTTGTGTTCCTCATTTTATAATAATAATAATAATAGTACAGCGCTTGTTTGGACACTCAAAGATGCTTTACAGGTCATTATTCGGTGGTGATAAACTACTACTGTAGCCACAGTTGCTCTAGGGCACACTGACAGAAGCAATACTACAAGTAGGAGTACTAGTAGCAGTAGTAGTAGTAGTAGTTGTAGCAGTAGTAGTAGTAGCAATAGTAGAAGTATGAGTACTAGTAGTGTCAGGGATAAAGCAGACAGAGACGGATCGTGGTGCGCCAAACTCTGGAAGTTTATTTAAGTTTCTCTCAAGTTCCAGTGGTTTCCATTGTTTCCTTCTCTCAGACAGAATGGAGTCAGTACACAGTTTATATAGTCATTGTCACGTCACACATGGAAAGACGTGTCACACAGAGACAGTCACATCATAGTCACAATAATCAGAGTCCTTGTACAGTCCTGCACGTAGGCCATATTGCTATCTAATACTAACAGTAGTAGTAGAAGTTACATTTTAGTCTTACTATTAGTAATATTATTTGAAGAAATCTCACTCTTACCCGAGTACAGTAGATAATCTAGCTGCTTTACTGTATCCATAAATATATTTGTATTTATGACATGTTTATTTTCTTCCCTAAAAATAAGTCATTTTTCCTCATATCCGTTTAATCGCGGGCTTGAAAATACCTTTGTGAAAGTTGTTGCTGTTTTCGTCTGACTCGATAACCCTGCAAGTGTTTCTCTGTGGACCTTTTTAAAATGATTCATGCTCCGAATCCATGCCCTCTCTCTTCCCACAATCCTTTGCTTTCTGGCCCATTGGAATGTAATGTAATGTCCACGGCGGCTAAAGGCTATTTGTTAGAAACGATAGCGCCCGGTTCATCCCTCACAGCGCAGGTGTAATATGTTATTGCAGATTATGGGAGTGAGGAAAGCCTTTGTTCTCGCCTTAACTTTAGTGTTTATGGTCTTTGGCCCCTGGTGCGGACAAAGTGTGGGCTCCAAAAGTGCCTGGTCTGCAGAAGCACGAGTTAGAGTGAAGGATTATACACAAATGTGGATATAGAGTCCAAAGACAGCAGACCTGAGAAAGAATGTGTTAAATAATAATGGTGGAAATTAGGGCCGGGACTTTAACGCGTTAATTACAATTAATTAACGCCACAAAATTAGTGCGTTTTTAATCCCATGTGTTTTTCCCACCGCGGAACTTCCTCACTGGAGGATATGTTTCAGACAGACCGATTATACTGGCGCACCAACTGAGCTCCGTGACTTTTCTTGTTCAAAACATGGATCTATTATAATAACTGGATAGGGTATTACTAGCTTGTAGCTGAATAACACATGTGCTCGGGGGATTCTCGCGGTACTGCAGACTAAACCAGACTAGACCAGACTAAATTCACGTGGGCTACCCAGAAATTTTCCCCATACAACTCAATGCATATTAAAACAGCTCAACCTCAGCTGACAGAGAACCTACAGCTTTCATAAAGATCGGATTTTGTGGGGATTTTAGTGTCCCTTGTCATCCTGAACTTTTTTTCTTCTTAAATCCTTCGGGCTCATTACAAACGTCACAGTAAACTCTGATCCAATCGTTTCAATCTGCAAAAGGAGCTAACCCCTCCCACCTGTTAACGGAGTCAATGGAGACAATCCAGACCTTAGCACGAAATGTAATTTGTACTATGGTGTGGTACGACCAGGGTAATCTTATCCTATCTTGAGAAAAAGGTAGGTTTCCTGTCAGCTGAGGATGAGCTGTTTTAGTGAACATTGAGGTCCATGGGGACATTTCCTGGGTGGTCCTGGTGACTTTAGAATAAGTGCTGGGGCCCTTCTCATCCTCGCAGTGCCCTGTCCAGATATACAGTACTTGGCGGCACGGTTGGAACAGGGCCTTTCTGAGTGGAGTTTGCATGTTCTCCCCGTGTCTGAGTAGGTTTCCTCCGGGTGCTCCGGTTTCCCCTACCACTAAAAACATGCACAATGAAAGTATTCGGCCCCCTTGAACCTTTCAACATTTCGCCACATTTCAGGCTTCAAACATAAAGATATAAAAATTACATTTTTTTGTCAAGAATCAACAACAAGTGGGACACAATCGTGAAGTGGAACTAAATTTATTGGATTATTTATACTTTTTTAACAAATAAACTGAAAAGTGGGGCGTGCAATATTATTCGGCCCCCTTGCGCTAATACTTTGTAGCACCACCTTTTGCTGCAATTACAGCTGCAAGTCGCTTGGGGTATATCTCTATCAGTTTTGCACATCGAGAGACTGGAATTCTTGCCCATTCTTCCTTGCAAAACAGCTGGAGCTCAGTGAGGTTGGATGGAGAGCGTTTGTGAACAGCAGTCTTCAGCTCTTTCCACAGATTCTCGATTGGATTCAGGTCTGGACTTTGACTTGGCCATTCTAACACCTGGATACGTCTATTTGTGAACCATTCCATTGTAGATTTGGCTTTATGTTTTGGATCATTGTCCTGTTGGAAGATAAATCTCCGTCCCAGTCTCAGGTCTTTTGCAGACTCCAACAGGTTTTCTTCCAGAATGGTCCTGTATTTGGCTCCATCCATCTTCCCATCAATGTTAGCCATCTTCCCTGTCCCTGCTGAAGAAAAGCAGGCCCAAAGCATGATGCTGCCACCACCATGTTTGACAGTGGGGATGGTGTGTTCAGGGTGATGAGCTGTGTTGCTTTTACGCCAAACATATCGTTTTGCATTGTGGCCAAAAAGTTTGATTTTGGTTTCATCTGACCAGAGCACCTTCTTCCACATGTTTGGTGTGTCTCCCAGGTGGCTTGTGGCAAACTTTAAACCAGACTTTTTATGGATATCTTTGAGAAATGGCTTTCTTCTTGCCACTCTTCCATAAAGGCCAGATTTGTGCAGTGCACGACTGATTGGTGTCCTATGGACAGACTCTCCCACCTCAGCTGTAGTTATCTGCAGTTCATCTAGAGAGATCATGGGCCTCTTGGCTGCATCTCTGATCAGTCTTCTCCTTGTTTGAGATGAAAGTTTGGAGGGACGGCCGGGTCTTGGTAGATTTGCAGTGGTCTGATACTCCTTCCATTTCAATATAACTGCTTGCACAGTGCTCCTTGAGATGTTTAAAGCTTGGGAAATCTTTTTGTATCCAAATCCGGCTTTAAACTTCACAACAGTATCTCGGACCTGCCTGGTGTGTTCCTTTGTCTTCATGGTTCTCTCTGCGCTTTAAACAGAACCCTGAGACTATCAAAGAGCAGGTGCATTTATACGGAGACTTGATTACACACAGGAGCATTCTATTCATCATCATCAGTCATTTAGGACAACATTGGATCATTCAAAGATCCTCACTGAACTTCTGGACTGAGTTTGCTGCACTGAAAGTAAAGGGGCCGAATAATATTGCACGCCCCACTTTTCAGTTTTTTATTTGTTAAAAAAGTTTAAATTATCCAATAAATTTCGTTCCACATCACGATTGTGTCCCACTTGTTGTTGATTCATGACAAAAAAATTAAATTTTATATCTTTATGTTTGAAGCCTGAAATGTGGCGAAATGTTGAAAGGTTAATACTTTCGCAAGGCACTGTAGGTCTGAATGTAAATGAGAGAGTGAATGGATGGTGTTGGAGCTGATGGTCCAGTGTGTTCTGGACTCGCTTCTGTCATCACCGTGTGTGGAATGATTGGAACAATATCTGACTCTGAATATTGTAAAGTGCTTTGGGTGACCTTGGTCTGTAAAATGTGCTATATGCTAATAATAATAATAATACATCGGTTTTATATAGCGCTTTTCAAGAACTCAAAGACGCTTCACAAATTCATGACACACACACACACACGTTTAGACAGACACACAAAACTAAAAATCTAAGAGTGGGAACGAAGGGTATAAAGTTTAAACTAAGAGTCGTATGCTTGGAGGAAGAGGTGAGTTTTGAGCTGTTTTTTTTTTAAGTGAGTCCGAGTTTCTGAGATGAGGGGGGAGAGAGTTCCAGAGAGTGGGAGCAGAGATGGCGAAAGCTCGGTCCCCCAAGGTTCGGTGCTTGGATGTCAAATGAGTGACAGTGGGAGTGAGGAAATGCGTCTGCAGATCGTAGTCGACGGGAGGGACTGTAGGGCTGTAGAAGTTCAGTGAGGTAAGGAGGAGCGAGGTCATGGAGGGCTTTTTGGTGATGAGGAGGATTTTGAAATGGATGCTGTTTAACGGGGAGCCAGTGGAGTTTATGGAGGACAGGGGTGATGTGTTCTCTGGGTCTGAGTGATGAGGCGGGCGGCGGAGTTTTGGACATATTGTAGTTTTTGGAGATCAGATGAAGGAAGGCCGTATAAAAGACTGTTGCAGAAGTCGAGTCTGGAGGATATGAAAGCATGGATCAGGGTTTCAGCAGCGGTGGAGGACAGATATGGGCGAAGACGGGCAATGTTTTTAAGATGAAAGAAGGCAGTTTTGGTGATGTTGCGGATGTGGGGCTTGAAAGAATAACATTACATACTTACTTACTCACAATACATCCATGCCTTCACCCCTCACAATGTGATAATGTTCTTTCCTTTCCTCTTGTCTTTAGGATACTACTCATGGAGAAACACGTACAACGGCTCCTGGTTCATTCAGTCCCTGTGTGACATGATGGAGAAGCACAGGGACCTGGAGCTGATGCAGATCATGACCAGAGTGAACCGGAGTGTGGCCTATCACTTCGAGTCCACCTCAAATCTTCCCGGATTCAGCGGCAAGAAGCAAATCCCCTGCATCGTCTCCATGTTGACCAAAGAGTTCTACTTTCCCAAATAGCCTTTTTAAAATGGAAGTATTTAAGCGTGATTACACTGTAGTAGAGCTGCAGGAGATTGGAAATATGTGCATTATGCGATGGTGGCGACCTCTAGTGGTCACTCTCTTCCTCCATGTTGTTTTGATCCAACAGTCTGTTTGCTCTGGCAGCAAATGGCAAAGTTTATCAACAAAACTCATGATTTCTACATAGAATTATTGCACTTCTTTGCAGTGAGGGCTGTGGGTTATGGGCAACAAATTATAGCTCCATATGAGAAGGACATGTCACGATAACAATAGAAGTTGAAATATAAAGAGCTCTTTAAACTGTTAAAATGTTACATGTGTAGCTCTCAAATTAGATTCTATTCATGGAATCACATTTGGCAGCTCAAGTTTGCTATTATATTGGTCCAAACTCAAAAGAGGAACCATTTATTTGCCGTTCAAAAGCCACAATATGAAAAGGGAAGTTATTACACGTCCGCTGTACTAAATATAACTGGTCAAGTGTCGCCTTAAATGTTCTAATTTACTTATGAAAAACTTATCTTTGGCAAGTATTGGGAAGAATACATCAGAGTCATGACAGTATTTCACTTTTATGCAGTCTCTCATAATTATACCGATATAACTGCGATCGGTGTTACTTCACGCAGTCGTATTTGCCATCATCGTGATAATATAATCTTTCTGATCTGTTGCAGCTCTACTCTGTACGATGTTAATGTAGGCAGTAGGAGAGGGAAGAGAAAGGGCTCAAAACACTTGTCGTTTTTAGAGCAATCCATTCCTGTTTTGACTTATTTATTACACTCAGATTCAGATTCATTTTATTAGCCATGTGCAGTATAAAAACTACATTGGAATACTGGGTAACAAAAAAATATTTGTTGAAAATAGTCCAGGGTTTTCCAGCTGAATCAGACTAATGTTGATGCTCTGAGTCCGAAAATGACCTTGGTTTTGCTCAATCAGATCAGGGTTTTGTGCTACAGAAATATTTTTTTTAATCGATTTTGCGTAAACAACAAATTTCTGCGGATCATCAGCTGAGAAACCCTTGACGTTTTTTCCGTTTTCCTCAAGAAATAAAAGTCAACGTATCCAAAGTCCTTCAGTTTTTATTTGCTCCATCAAATTTGATAAGCAGAATTCATAATAACGTAGACGTACATAATCCGTAACACTATGGCTGTATCTCACAAAGTTGACCTGATAGAGTAAAAAGCATGTTATATTCGGACTCAGAACACCAACATTAGTCTGAATCAGTTGAGAAACCCCTGACCATTTTTTGGCTGTCAACTTGTATAATCTACTGAAGCAAAGTGCCTAAATGCCTGTTAGTCGTTGCCACAAAAACACATGTGGAATCGCACTGACTACAATTAAAAGCAGTTAAAAGTGTCAAAACAGTCATTTCGCTGTAGTTTTTCTTTCTTTTCGTCACTTATTGTGTTGTTTCACCAAATTCAGCTTCAACTGTTGTGTGTGGTGTTAAAGATGAACTGAATAGGGCACTGTCCGGTTTCCGAAATGTGCTAAAAATAGCTCAGATGACTGCGCATGCGCGCAGGTTTCGGACAAACTCTGTCCGACTCCGTTGAGTACTACTGTGTTATCCACATACGCGTGCCCACATACTTGGGCTAAATCATTGAATCATGGTGACAACAAAACACTGCAGTTATGGTACTTGTCGGAGCGATTTGAGATACTCTGAAAAGGACTATATGAAAGCAGTAACATTCAACCCGTTCCTTAAACCACAACATCGGACCAGACCAGCACCAGACCAGGACAAGTGCAAGAGGTGGGTGTTTGTGGTCGGCAAAATGTTAAAAAGGACACATGTTTTTTTCCAAAACACTTGGTCTGTGAAGCTGGACCAACTGTGGAGCATCCAGATCCAGTCCTAGCTACGTTCAGCTGGGACTGGACCTGGACCGCTGTATCAGGTCCGTCTGAGCTCTTCTGAATGTAGTTAGCACAAACTTTCTCTTTATACCATTTACTCCCATCAATCCATATTAGTATTGTTTGTCCTAATCCAGAATGTATACAATTCTCACACCTGAAGAAAAATGAGAGGGATTTTTTCAACTTTGTGACTATCGGAAAATAAGTACAGACGAAGCGCGTCGGGGTCCGCTTATTATACGGCTTTGTACCAACTGAACACACAAAACTTACTTCAGTCACTTTTATTAATGCCGAAAGGTTTATTTAATGACTGCAAAAAAAAATAGTTCCCAAAGGTTTTCCCGTGGCAGGCGAGTAACAGTGAGGCTGGTTAACCAATTTCAAAAAAGCGATCGCTTTAGTCGCATTAAAAAAGTATTTTTGTCATGAAAACCTGAACAGATACTTCTGAAAACCTCCGTGCACGTGTGTTATGAATGTATGAATAATATATTCTTCCATTAACATTTAAATGTGTTGATTGATTGTCATTTGTGTTTATTGAGTGTGGCTAGCTCCGATAGTTTCTCTGCAGAGACAGTAGTGGCGTAGCCCGTTGTGACCCCATGGATCTATTATAATATCAGCTGACAGACTAACTATATGATCAAACTAATTACAAAGTGGACAGTACAAAAAACAACTTGATAAATGGAAGTTAATCACAGCAAAAAAAAACAAAGAAGGCGCTAGCATTGAATTTAAATGACTAGATAATGTTAGCATAATCCTCACCATTACCTTTTTATCAACTCAAACTTTCTACCAGTTACTGTAGACAACGACATTCTAGCCAACGTTTTAATTGGTCTACACTATGATCCCTGATGGTTTGATGGTGGAATTTTGCTCCTGGTATATCATTTTTGTCTAAAGTGACAAGTGGTATTTGATTCATTTCGGCAGTGTTTGTCCGAAACATGTGGGCGGGAGTTGACAGGCGGCGGGGGCGTGTCTTAGTGACGTCATTCAGATAGTTCGCTATTATCGTATTTTCCGGACTACAGCAGGCTCTAATTTTGAGAAAACAAACGTTGTAGTCTTGAAAATGTTGCTCAATGTTTTACTGAGAGTTGTGTTCTGCTTCTTTGACAAACCTCTCAGTTTCATTGGACCCCTGTGAACCACTCATTCATTCTGTTTTTGGTACCACAGAGAAAAAAAAAGGTAGTTAAGCCGCTCCTGACTATAAGCCGCAGCCTTCAGTCCGGACTTCACGGTACAATGGAAAAGATTCAGAACTAAATCTTAAAAATACATTTGTAATGAGAGATTCAGTTTAAACTCAGGGATCAACACCATCATGTCTTATTATCGGAGGAATCTCTGTTTTAGACCAAGTAGAATTATTTTAGATATTTTAATTTCTCTCACAGGAGACATTGAGAGGTTCAGAATATTCTATTTTTTTTTACTCATTTTTGTAGAAAAAACATGTGTGATACAAACCTGGTGTCAATGCTGTTTACATTAAAGGAGCTATACCTGTTTCTGCAAGGTTTGAATGTTTAGCCCCGCCCCCAACTCACAGGCTTCTCATTTGCTACGCTCTCATAACACAAAGCCATCTAGTTTTATTTGCGATCTGATACTGATGCTAACATTAGCATTAGCACAACTTAAGCTGTACAACAATCACTGATGAAATGGTCAAAAGCAACACACTGCTAACACAATATTTAACCAAAAGATTACCACTAGTTTCACGTCCGAAAGTAGTCCGAGCGTAGATAGTCCGAGCGTAGATAGTCCGAGCGTAGATAGTCCGAGCGTAGATAGTCCGAGCGTAGATAGTCCGAGCATATAGTCCGAGGCGGTCCCGCAGGTCTCTCCCTCAGACCAGTCTCTCCAGAGGATACGATGTAAGCTAGCTCTGTTCAGGGCTTGGTTTCTTCTTTGATCATGTTGTGGCTTTAGTTCCTCTTCTCTTCCTCAATGTCGTGTGGTTTGGGCTGTTTTGCTGTGTCTGCAGTTACAGCCAGAGGAGTTATAGCCACTTATGCTAACATGCTACTGTGTTTAGCAGCGCTGTAGAGGCTAGAGGACGCAGCCTCGTTCTGTGATTGGAGGAGAGCGGGCGTCACGTTAAGTCTCTACTCAGCACTTTTTACGGCCTGAATTCATACACAGCTGAATCAATGAGCGCAAGTTTTCAATTAAATTACAGATTATAATACAACTTGTATGGAAGCCCGTTTCCGCCATGTAAAAAAAAAAAAAAAAGCCTACCGAAAGTCAAAATTACGACTTTAAAAGTCAAAATTTTCTCTGGTCATCCCTGTTATAGATCCATGACCATGGGTCATCCTCTACCTGCAGATTATGTGAAGATTTTGCCTACAGACAGTGACCACATCCATGAAGTAGCAGCAATAATGTTGTGGTAGTAATCGCGTTAAAGGCACACCGTGTAACTCTTGGCCACTAGGGGCGCTAGACCTGCAACTTTCACGTTTAGCGCCCCTAGTGGCCACAAGCAACTCAGCACTGTCGCAAAAGTCAACAAACAGTCAGCCGGTGTCTTTTGAGTGTGTATTCAGACAGCATGCACTGGTGTGTGTGTTCAAACTGTAGAGACATGCCTACAGATATTGAGAGACTCTGCTGTGGTCAGCCTCCAGACCGCTGCATTAGTAATCTACCACACATGGACTTCTATATCCTGGATGAGGGAGTTCTGCGTCTAGCTCGTGCTGCGTGGAATGACATCTTTGCAGTCGATGACATCCAGGAACCAGGTGAAGAGCAGCGCTCATACAGACATGCAGCTTACAGCACGATCCCTTTCGCGTTTCCTCTTTTTAGCCTCCTCCGAAGGTTTAAAATTTTTCCTTGCCTCAGCCATGACCAGGAGTCGAGCAGGTGAAAAATGAGTAGCAAAAGCCTTAGCTCCATGAGTATATCAGCGCCTGTAGCCGTAAAGCAAGTCTTTCTTCCAAGTCACGTGACCTGGTGGCAGACGGTCCGTCTGCTCGAAACTTACATGGTCGGTATTTCAAGAGGGCAGCCCCGCTCGGAGCATTGCAAGTGTCAAGCGCTGTATATTGGCCCAAGTATTCATATAAAATAACTCATATGTGTCAACTCTTTAGGTCACAAAGTCCGCGGTGTGCCTTTAAGCAACAATCCGGAGAAATAACTCCGCAGATAACAGTGAGGGTCTTTGAAAAGGGACTTAAACCCATTATAGATGCATGAATAAAACCCCGTACTCAACACGTAGAAAGCGCATCCTTTCAGCCGTGGAAACACTCGCTCCGTGTGGACCCCTCTCAGCGCCATCGTCTGGTCAGAGTGGGGTATAGCAGATTGGATTGGAATGTCTCGATGGCTCATTTTCCTTTGATTTATTATAAAAACATATTGCTCACATTATTTGTTACTGTGTCGAAATGAGAAGTCGTTTGATTTAAATGTTGTATATATGTAAATTGAATTTAACATAAATAAATAAAAAGACAGCCCCCCCTGCGTCCTACGACCGCGGTCTGGGGCTTAAACAGGAAAGTTTTACAGAATCAATCAAACAACATTATTTCTGGCTTCTTCATGGATGCAGTGGTCACTGTCGGCAATATCTTCATAATCTGCAGGTGAAGGACGTCCAGAGATTGTTCCAGACAACAACACACACCAGTTTTCAACTGCACATGCGCAGTTGAAAACTCGTAATTTTGACTTTTAAAGTCGTAATTTTGACTTTTAAAGTTGAAATTTTGACTTTTAAAAGTCGTAATTTTGACTTTTAAACTCAAAATTTTGACTTTCTGTATGCTTTTTTTTTTTTACATGGCGGAAACGGGCTTCCATAAACTTGTAAGTAGTAAGAAGCATTTTTATGAACTCATTAGAAAATAAACCGGGTATAGCTTCTTTAATTAGACCTGAAAAGCCAAAAGAACTGGTTACAAGAACAATTTCATTTGAATAAACTATTTTCATACTGGTTTTATAGATGTGTCGTGTCTTTTTATTTATTTTATAGATTTTTTATGAGACTTTTGGGACAATGGTGTTAAAACTGAGCTTGTCGTTACAGCAGCAGCACAACTGATTTTCCTCTTGATGGTTTGGGTTTGTGAAGGTTGCAGCTCACGGATCTATTGGCGCTGAGAGGAGCGTCCTTGTTTTGTCTTCTATAAATCTACCTCAAAGTTGTGAAAAGTCTCCAATGTTTTCTGCTGATCCCAGACCGCCGCATCTTTCATCATTTTCTTCAGTTGGTGGAGAAAGCGGGCTGAAGAGCGAACAGCTACAGAACAGAAGAGTTTATAAAAAGCTGTTCTTTTTTTGATACAACTAAAAAATATCAAGAGGGAAATCTGTAAGCTGCTGAGAAATGCAAAAAGTTTGATACATTCTTATGATTCCCTATAAAATATATAATATAGGAGACAAACACCAATATTTGAGAAGTGAATTAAAGATTCTTTCATTTACAAAAAGTTCAGAATTATTTAAACCTAATGTGAGATAAACTTAATCAGGCATGTGCACTAATTTAGTCAACCGTTAATATTGTTTTAAAGAAGCAATATGTAAGATTTTCAAGTCATCATTAAAGGGCCCTAATCTGTCAAAAGGCATTAATTAACTTATCTTTTCCAATACTTACTTAACTGATATCAGAAGTTCAGAGATATTTGGATTAAAAATAGATTCAGGGAAAGTGGGAAACGACAGAATATTGACCGTGATTGCAGAACCACTTTTGGCCAGATTTCACATCCTGCTCCTTTAATTTCAGTGCCTTTAGTATTTACTGTTGGAACCCAAACTGGTTTTATAACCTCAGTGATGCGTGACCTCCGTACACAGATGAAACCAAGCATAAGAAATGAGGCCAGTTCTGTGTTTGCCATCTTTGAATCTTTGAAGAGTGGCAACACGGGAGCCTCAAACATCTCTCAAAGACCTGAAAACAGAGATTGTTCAACATTATTGTTTAGGGGAAGGATGCAAACGGCTGGTACGACTTTATGGGGGCTTTTCTTTCCCAGTGCAGGTTTTTTAAGACTCAGAGAACTTCACTCTTTCAGTTAAATCCTCGTTTGTTTGTAGTAATGTGATATATACAATAACACTGAATTAATATTAAAAAGTCCACATGAATCTACACTAAAAGTCCAAACGAAGGAGTGATCCTTCTTGCTGTGTCCCACACACCTGTGATCAGGGCTGGACTGGCCATCGGGCGTACCAGGAAATGCCCGAAGGGCAGATGCCCATATTTTGCGCGGTCTGCCAGCCTCATACAAAAAAAATCATTTTTGTGAAATGTGTAAATCTGTTGAGAAATGTTCAAGGGGGAGCGTGCGTGTGGTCTGTGGCCTCTCCCTCAGTCTGTGGCATGTTTATTACTCTCAATGTAGACTATTGCACTTTATTTCAATTGTTGAAACTGCAGACAACCTCAACAGCAACAAACACGTCTGGGCCGTCAAGGAGGCAAAAAGGCCTCGGCCCTTTTATGGTTCCAGTCCAGGCCTGTCTGTGTTCTTTGGCAAGACACTCGCCATTTCTTTTTCTTCAGAATTCTTGTAAAATGACAGTATCTTTCGAGAATCAAAATCATCCTCAGATCAAATTATGTGAAGATAAATGAGTAAAACTTGTTGGAACGCGCAGCTAAGGGTTACGGTAGGTTCTCAACAAGTTCCACAGAAATTAATTTCTCAACATTTTAAGCTGAGTCACATGTACAGAATATGGGACAGAAAGTGCCTTAAACAGGTGAAACTCGGAAAATTAGTCAAAAAGGATGATATTGACACATTACATGCAGTGACATACGACAAGCCTTTCTTATCATGCTGAGGATTATGGTTTATAAAATAAGATAATCTTTGTGGTGGTGTTGAACAAATGGACCGGGGCTAAAACAGCTGGAGGACCATGCTTTCACCTCATATAGATAGATACTTTTTTGATCCCCGTAGGAGGAATTCAGGTGTCCAGTAGCAGCAAAAATAAATTAAAGCCGCAAGCGGCGTTGAACGACCCTCGCCGCACCACGCAAAAATATTTTCACACGACCGCCGCCATCTTCTTTGTTTCTTCTACTGAGGAAAGTGCACGTACGCCCCCTACTGGTGTCTCTTGGCACGCGCCACCATCGACCAATGTCATTTTTATTTGCCGATGGTCGATGGTAGTTAACAAGGCATCGTGCATCCCTAATTTCTAAAAGTAAGAACTAGTATTTTATCAATTATTGTTCACAACATTTATGTGAAAGAACACCATGGATCTGTCTGAACATTTCATTGGGTTCTTCCTTCCATCACATCTGTCCTCTTTAGTGCTGGAATCTCTGGGTCCCTCACGATACGATACGATATTATCACAATGTGGCGATACTGCGATTATGAATACATTGCTCAGATACTCGTTCACAAAATCATGATATGTCCCAAAGGTTTGTTAAAAGATTATCTTTTACATGTGGTTAGTTTTTCTTTACTTACTTTAATGAAGATTGGATGTTATTATTATTTGGTTGTGTTTTTCAGCAAAATTAGTTCAGTTGTTTTGAATGATTTATTTTCAAATGTATTAATTGACCTTTTCTGTTTGGGTTTAATTGTTAAAGCAAAATAAATGAGGTGGTTGTTTTCCTGAGAGAATTTGTTTTTCAATTTGGTTTTGTCGACAAAGTAACAATTTGTAGCATTGTTTGTTGTACTTTTTCAAAGGCATGTTGTGGTACAAAGGTGGATCAGAATCAGAATCATTTTTATTGCCACATAAGTAACAGGAGGTCACAGACTTGGAAATTGCTTTGGCTCAGTGCAACAGTCAGAGAGAGATAATAAAAATAAAGAATAAAAAACACTTCTAAGGAATAAATTTAAATTTAAAATAGAGTTACAGCTATTATTTACAATATACAAGTGCACATGGTGCACACAATGTAAGGTGACAGCAGTACAGTGAAGTAAAGTGACGTATGATGGGCAGTAAAGTGACTTTATAAAGGGCGGGGGGACAGGTTAAGAAGTGTTCAAGAGTCCAACAGCAGAGGGGAAGAAACTGTTCTTGTGGCGGGAGGTTCTAGTCCTGATGGACCGCAGTCTCCTGCCTGAGGGGAGTGGTTGGAATAGTCCATGTGCAGGGTGAGAGGGGAGTGGTTGGAATAGTCCATGTGCAGGTGAGAGGGTTCGGCTGTGATACGACCAGCCCGGCCTCGAGCTCGGGCGACGTACAGGTCCTGCAGCGATGGAAGGCTGCGGCCGATCACTTCCTCTGCAGAGCGCACAATGCACTGTAGTCTCTGTTTGTCCCTGACTGTGGCTCCAGCGAACCACACGGTGATGGAGGAGGTGATGGAGGAGGTTATGGAGAAGGTGATGGAGGAGGTGATGGAGGAGGTGACGGAGGAGGTGATGGAGGAGGTGATGGAGGAGGTGATGGAGAAGGTGAGGATGGACTCGATGATGGCCGTGTAGAACTGCACCAACATCTGTGCAGGCAGCTTGGCTTTCCTGAGCTGCCGCAGGAAGTACATCCTCTGCTGGGCCTTCTTGATGAGGGAGCTGATGGTCGGCTCCCACTTGAGGTCCTGGGTGATGGTGGTGCCCAGGAAACGGAAGGACTCCACAGAGGTGATGGGGGAGTCCATCATGGAAGGTGGGGGCGGGGGGACAGTGCTCTTCCTGAAGTCCACAATCATCTCCACTGTCTTCTGGGCGTTCAGCTCCAGGTTGTTACCACTGCACCAGGACACCAGCTGGTCCACCTCCCTCCTGTAGGCGGACTCATCGTTGTTGGAGATGAGTCCAATGAGGGTGGTGTCGTCCGCGAACTTGATCAGCTTCACAGAGTCGTGGCTGGAGGTGCAGTGGTTGGTGTACAGGGAGAAGAGCAGGGGAGAAAGAACACAGCCCTGTGGGGCTCCTGTATTTATAATCCGAGAGTCCGAGACATTCTTCCCCAGACGCACTCGCTGCTTCCTGTCCGTCAGGAAGTCAGTGATCCACCTGCAGGTGGAATCGGGCACGTTGAGCTGGGAGAGCTTGTCCTGGAGGAGGGATGGCAGGATTCGAACAGGACCCTGGCGTAGGGCCCCGGGGAGTCCAGGTGCTGTAGGATGTGGTGGAGGGCCAGGTTAATGGCGTCGTCTACAGATCTGTTGGCTCTGTAGGCGAACTGCAGGGGGTCCAGGAGGGGGGAGGTGAAGGACTTGAGATGGAAGAGGACCAGGCGTTCAAATGACTTCATGACGACAGACGTATAGTGCTACAGGTCTGTAGTCGTTGAGTCCTGTGATCCTGGGCTTCTTCGGGACGGGGACAATGATGGAGGATTTGAAGCAGGCCGGGACATGGCAGGACTGCAGAGAGGTGTTGAAAATGTCAGTGAACACAGGAGTAAGCTCACTGGCGCAGTGTCTCAGAGTGGCCGGAGACACGTGGTCCGGGCCAGGAGCTTTGCGGGGGTGCAGCCTCAGGAAGAGTTGTTTAATCTCTTTAGCGGCTATTGTTAGGCTGGGGGCAGGGCTGATGGGTGGGTCGTTAGAGTAGTGGGGGGTGGGGGTGGGGGAGGTGTCAAGGGCAGCATCAAAGCGACTGAAAAATAAGTTCAGTTTGTCAGCTAGCTTGTGGTCGTCAGCACAGGGGGGGGCTTTGGGTTTGTAGTTGGTGATCTCCCGTAGGCCCCTCCAGACAGAAGCAGTATCGTTGTTACCAAACTGCTCCTGTAGTCGTTCTCTGTGCCGGGACTTGGCTGCTTTCAGTTCTTTCCTGAACTGATATTTAGCTGCTTTGTAGCCGCTGCGGTCCCCCTCCCTGAAAGCAGACTCCTTTGCTTTCCTGAGCTGCCGGAGTTTAGCAGTGAACCAGGGTTTGTCATTGTTATAGATGACCCTGGTCCTTGTTGGAATGATGCTATCCTCACAGAAGTGGATGTATGACGTCACAGTGTCCGTAAATTCATCCAAGCTGTCTGTGGCAGCTCTGAAAAGGTCCCAGTCTGTAGATTCCATGCATGCGCGCAGCTCTTCCACAGCTTCATCAGACCACACTTTGGAGCTCCTCGCTGCAGGTTTCGAGAGCTTTAGTCTCTGTCTGTAAGCAGGAACCAGATGTATCATGGAGTGATCTGAGAAGCCGAGGGCTGCCTTGGGAACAGCGCGAAAAGCTCCGCGCACGGTTGTGTAGCAGTGTTCTCCTCTCTGGTCGGGCATTTGATAAACTGTCTGTATTTGGGTAATTCCTGGCTCAAGTTTCCCTTATTAAAATCCCCCAGGATAATAATCAGAGAGTCCGGGTATAAACGTTGTCAGGGGAGAGGGCTGCACAACGGTTTGAGAGACTCATGACATGGCCACAGCGCTCATTATTATCACCTTTCTCTTCAGATTTAACATGAAAACATTTACTGCTCATGGACTTTCACAAACTTTATAGTGGAATCTGCATGTGCTGTATGTCTGATAGAAAGACATGAAAACCAGTTTATTTTTTCAGAGTTCTTGCAAAATGTATTGAGGACAGTAACTCTTACCTTACCTGTATGTTGCAACTTTTCTTGGCTCACTTCCATCCCATCAGTCATAGTTTGTCATTCAGAGGTAGTCATATATCGCTGGCTCTGATTGGCTCAAAGTACATCCCTCTGTGTTCAGTTTTCCTATAAATAAACGTTCTACTCCCATTTGACTTCAGTTCACTGACTGGAGTTGACTCCTCTGTGACAAAACCCAACATTATCCATAGATCACTTTGTGTCTATTCACAGAACCATGGCTGAGAGAGACCAGATCGTTCAAGAGACTGTTGATGCAGCAATGTAAGTATCTGATCAGGACTCCTCCACTATTAATTCATTTACTATGACGCACAAATGAAAACTAATATTTGGTATCTGTTCCTTTTCAGATGCACAGCTGTAGGCGACAAGACAATGTGAGCATTTCTGATGTTTGTTCTTGAATTCTTCTTTTCTACTTCATGATCACATTTTTTGAGCCTTAGTTGAAACGACTCTTGCTCTGGACCCAAAGATAATGTATTTTTGTGTATTTAAAACCAGGCAAACCTTATCCTCAGTGAGAGCAGGGCCGACGGTCCAGATCTCAGACGATGATTGGAAATACGACCAGAAGTTCCCGTCTATCGGAGTCTGCATGATCATCAACAACAAAACCTTTCTCCCCCAGACAGGTTAGTTACAAGTGCAACTATAAGAAAGACACAACAAAGACAAAGCAGACGGTATAATACACAATGGGAAGTTTAGATCTAACAGTTAAAAGCTGTTTGATAAAAGTGGGTTTTAAGATTCAGATTCAGTTTATTTGCCATTTGCAGTAAAACCACATTGGAATACATTAGAAAAAGTCTCCAGTGTGCACAGACAAATACAGACATAAAACAAGATTAAAAGACAGAAATAAAATGTTTGTTAGCGTAACGAGATGTCCTGCATCTCAGAGAGCGATATCTTCTGCCAGAGGGAAGAAGCTGGAACATGGCTTTCCCAGGGTGGCCAGAGGAGTCATTAACAATCCTAAGAGCTTTGTTTAAAAGTCTGGATTTATAAAGAACCTCCAGAACAGGAAGCTCACAGCCCACGGTCCTCTCTCTGGTCTCTCTCTGGTCTCTCTCTGGTCTCTCTCTGGTCTCTCTCTGGTCTCTCTCTGGTCTCTCTCTCTGGTCTCTCTCTGGTCTCTCTCTGGTCTCTCTCTCTGGTCTCTCTCTGGTCTCTCTCTGGTCTCTCTCTGGTCTCTCTCTGGTCTCTCTCTGGTCTCACAGCCCACGGTCCTCTTTGCAGAGCGGAGCACCTTGTTTAAAGCTCTCTTTTCTTTATCTGTGATGTTTCCAAACCACACAGACACAGAACCAACAAGTAAACTCTCAATGGTGCAGCCATAAAAGTTAAGCACAATCTTAGAGTTAGTGGTAAATTCTCTAAGTTTACACAGAAAGTAGAGACGCTGACGAGCTTTCTTAACGACTCGGTCAGTGTTTTTAACCCATTTCAGGTTAGACAGAGTTAAACCCAGAAATTTTCACTCCTCTACGATCTGCACCTGGGAGTTGTCGATTACGACAGGCAAATGAGAACTATTGCAACTGAAGTCGTAGACCAGTTCACATGTTTTGGATGCGTTCAGCTGGAGGTTGTTAGTTTGACTCCACTGAACCACATTTTGTATCTCTGCTCTATAAGAGGATTCATCAGTGTCACTGATGAGACCGATGATGGCGGTGTCATCAGCATATTTGATGATCAAGTTTGAGTCAGAGGAGGACACACAATCGTGAGTGTACAAAGTAAAAAGCAAAGGACTCAAAATACATCCCTGAGGAGAACCAGTGCTCACAGAAACAACATCAGAAAAACAGTCATTGATTTTCACTCTCTGAGATCTGTCAGTTAAAAAGCTAAAAATCCATTTACACATGGCAACACTTAAACCGAGAGACATGAGCTTTTCAATCAGTTTACCTGGGACAAGGCAGTTAAAAGCAGAGCTATAATCGATGAAAAGCATTCTCGCCACAGATTTACTAGTGTCCAAGTGACTGTAGACAGAGTTCAGAGCAAAGGAGATGGCATCCTCCACACTCCTGTTCTGTCTGTAAGCAAACTGGAGCGGGTCAACACTCACTGGGTTCTGGCTCTTAATGAAGTCCAGCACAAGCCGCTCAAAAGTTTTCATAAGAACAGAAGTGAGGGCCACAGGACGATAGTCATTCAGGCATGTCACAGGAGTTTTCTTAGGAACTGGAATGATGGTCGACTCTTTGAAGCAGTTCGGCACAGTACAGTTCCTTAGCGACAGGTTAAAAATGTCTGTTAAAACAGGGGCAAGTTGCTCAGAGCACAGTTTCAGGACACGAGGAGGGATGCCGTCCGGGCCTGGGGCTTTCCGGACTGTGGTCCTGGACAAGACACGCCTGACTTCCTCCTGAGTCACGGTGAAGGTACCTTGATTGAAACACTCAGGGAATACAGTAGGACAGGCATCAGCAGATTCAAAGCAACAGTAGAACGTGTTCAGCTCGTTTGGCAGAGCTTGGCCGACAGATGCAGTTTTCCCATCGCTAGGTTTCCACGATGTGATGGCTTTAATACCGTTCCACATGCGCCGAGGGTCATCTTCCTCAAAATAACTCTTTAACCTGTCCCCGTAACTGCGCTTTGCAGATTTAATAGAAAGTTTCAATGAGTAACAGGATAGCTTATAGGCAACTGTATCATTTGATTGAAACGCCAACGCACGCTCATGAAGTTTCAGTTTCACTTCCGCGTTCATCCAAGGGTTTTGACTAAAATGTTCTTTAATGACCTTCTGTGGGACACAGCCGTCAATACAGAAGCGTATGTATCCAGACACAGCGTCACAGAATTCATTGACGTCCTCTGACTGAAACACAGACCTAAACGAGCTTTAAAAGTTTCATTTCATTTTTTCATTTCATTTTCAACCCCTTTGTCCATTTCTGGGTCGGGGGGGTGGCAATGAGAGCTGCCATCCAACGCTCATAGCACCAGTCTGATCTTCTGCAGGGGGTGAGTCCACAGGAAGATGGCTGCTCCGTCAGTTGTGAAACAGCCTTGATCTTTCAGCGGGGGGCTTCAGGCAATGTGGGGTTAAGTGTCTTGCCCAAGGACACAACGACAGCAGTCATCAGTGGGAGCAGTTGGAGTAGGTCCAATGGTGGGAATCGAACTCACGACCTCCAGGCCCAAAGGCCAATGCTCTACCAACTGAGCTACTGTCGCCCCAAGAGACAGTAGCTCAGTTGGCCAAGAGAGAGCTTTAAAAGTAATCAGTAAAATCTTAAAATCAATTCTAAAACGCACAGGGAGCCAGTGAAGGGGTGATGTGCTCCCTTCAGTTAAAACCAGTGAGAAGTCTGGCTGCTGCGTTCTGGACCAGTTGGAGGCGGGAGAGGGATTCAGGCTGAGTTTATACTGAGACGCTGCAAATTTCTCAGCGTTCATAAGGGGTTGAAAATCTATGTAGTTCTAGCGCCCGGCCAGTAGTAGGCAGAGAAACTTTACAACACACACGCGACCCCCAGCTCCCCCCGGCAGTATACTCAATTCCTCTGCAAGACGTGAAAGAACCAACATCATTCTGCATTTTAACAGCAGCTGTGAAAATGGAAACTGAACCTAGAGCTTCGCGTGGTCTCGTTTGGACGAACGAAGGAGTAGAATTATCCTCTGTGCCGCGCTCGAAGCACACAAAGCTAGTTAGTGTGACCGCCGCCATTGTTGTTTACGTTTGTTCTCGGCTACTGCGCATGTCCAAATTTACGTGCGGGGAGCAGTGAGGAGGCGGGGGTCAGAGCAGAGGGGGATTTCACACCTTTTCCCCTCTCGCGGGTGTGAAAGAGCTCCCTGCTGCATATCTGAGCTGTCCAACTCTGAGGCTGGATCTGAACACTTACTGTACGTTTTCACCCTGAAACACAGTCTTCGTATGAACGGTTGTTAGCAACCGACATCCAACTATCAACTGTAGTGTTTTACTGTCACATTGTCTTCGTGTAAACTCAGCCTCAGAGTCTAGAATGAATAATTATAGAGACTCAGTTCATACAAAGTGACATTCGCCAAGTCTTTTTAATTATGTTGATGATTATGGCATTTACAGCTAATAAACATATGTGTGTGTGTATGTGTGTGTATGTATGTGTATGTCTAAGCATGTATTTGTGTGTGTGAGTGTGTGTGTATGACTAAGTATGTGTGTGTGTGAAGTTTTAAACCATTCTTTTTTGTTCAGTGGTTTTGTGTACTATGTTCTGAAATGTTTTTGCTTGATTGACACTTTACATGGATTTTATAGACAGCACAATGTCTTCTATACATCTACTACAACCATATATTTAATAATAATTACTTGTTTTGTATCTAATGGAATTCATAACTGGACATAACTCAAAAGCTTCCAGATTTCTCATCCAAGAGACAGAACCATTTTCATTTTCTTTGTCCTCTTTTCTCCAGGTATGAAACCTAGACCGGGCACAGAAAAGGACGCAGACGCAGCAAAGAAGACTTTTGGAAATCTGGGATATAAAGTCACTGTGCACAATGACCTCACCAAGAAACAGATAGAGACAGCGCTGGAGAAAGGTCATTTTATAATCTCGTAAAAATAACTAGTAGTTTTACTGGTGTTAGTGTCTGTGACCAGTAGCTACATGTAAAGCTTCTGCTGTATTTACATCTCTGCATAATGTGTGAGAAACCCTCTGCCTCAGCTACAGTACAATGTTTTTCTGTTTGGACTGTAAAAGATGCACGGAAGTTTTCACAATAACCTGTTAACGTTTTCATGACTAAAATAATGTTTTAATGCACACAAAAAGTGATCGCGGTAAACCAGGAACAAGCTATTATCATGAATTGCACCTTTTAGGACACATCTGCAGAGGATCTGATTATAGATATAGGTTCATATATAAATGTTTATGGATATAGGTTCAGTATATAAATGATTATGGATATAGGTTCATATATAAATGTTTATGGATATAGGTTCAGTATATAAATGATTATGGATATAGGTTCATATATAAATGTTTATGGATATAGGTTCAGTATATAAATGATTATGGATATAGGTTCAGTATATAAATGATTATGGATATAGGTTCAGTATATAAATGATTATGGATATAGGTTCATATATAAATGATTATGGATATAGGTTCAGTATATAAATGATTATGGATATAGGTTCAGTATATAAATGATTATGGATATAGGTTCATATATAAATGATTATGGATATAGGTTCAGTATATAAATGATTATGGATATAGGTTCAGTATATAAATGATTATGGATATAGGTTCATATATAAATGATTATGGATATAGGTTCAGTATATAAATGATTATGGATATAGGTTCAGTATATAAATGAGCAGCTGCGAGCATCAGCGCGGTGATTGACAGCCCTTGGCGTCACGTGATTGGTTAACGTGGACGGCACAGTGTATTTCTAGCTATAGCTAAGAGAAGGGAAGGCGGGACTTGCCCGTAATATTAGAATTAATAAAATGACTTATTTTTTATCAACATTTTAGGCCAGGAGGTCAATTTGATACATTTGATTAATTTAGAGTTACTATTACTTTAACTTTAAGACCCACAGAATATTGTGTGCTATGAGTCTGTGAAATATGAAACTAGATTCTGAAAGACTGAACTGTCTACTTTTGTCCGCAAGAATAAGTTGGTTTCTAGCTAGTCTAGCTAGGAAGTTTGACAGAAATCCCCGGTTGTGGTCTTTCAGTAAATAATCAAAAAATGTGAGTTCTTAAACCTTTCCCTGTGTTTTTTTCTCAGTGTCTAAACAGGACCACAGTAAAAACGCATCTTTTGTTTGTGTGATTCTGAGCCATGGAAATGAGGATGGAATCTTTGGGACGGATAAACTCATCACCCTGGAAGATATCACCAAATATTTTAAAGGTGATAAATGCAAGACCCTCGTAGGAAAACCCAAACTCTTCTTTCTCCAGGTGAGTTTCTCCTTTACCTTCAATCCTATAACCCAGGCATGTCCAAACTCAGGCCCTCTGCTGCTAACACAAAGTCACCATTGTGTCATCCAGCCAACTTCAGCTCCACCACTACAGTCATGCTCTACCTGGGTGTAAAGCTCAAACCCTGTGGAATCCATTACACTCCATCTATTGTTATTTACTGACATTTTTATTATGATTTTTTCCAAACATTCCATTCAAAATGCAGCTGTGGCGTCAATCTAACTGACTTTGTGAAATTTTCGAATGTGAGCGCTGGCCTCGCTCTCTCTGCTCGCCCTCCCCGCACCCACGAAGCTATCACCCCCCACTACCCCCCTCCCACTCAGCCTGTGCTCACATGCTACATGTATATGGATCACACATTTGAACGTGGCGTGACCATAGAACGATAGAACCGGGAAGTGCGGAGGAACGAGACTTTCTTTTGGCTGTTTCACTTAGTAAGCAGAAACGAAGACACAGGAAGTTTCAGGTTAGCCTCCGCCGCTTGTTTACCTCAGCTGTCTGTGCTAACCACAGACCTGTGGCTTTTCTCAAGAAAGTGGGGGCCAGAGGTCCGCTGTGATTGGTCACAATCTGGTCCTGAAACACATTCTCTTCCTTGTTGCACCAAAACTCAAACTAAAATTAAAATCTGCGCTGATTATCCTTCAAAAGGACGTATATCCCAATGCACTGCATGGATTGAATTTTTGTAATGAATACAAAAATAAAGTGAGGTAATGCAGCTTTAAATTCCAAAATCCAGCTCGAATACAGTTTTTTGAATCCAGGTCGCCGGCCCCAGGTCAAGTCTGATGAGCTAAACTCTCACTAAAATGTTTGGACACCCCAGTTTTAACCCATTATCATATCTGCAGGTTGTAAGGTGATTTAACTTCAAAGGGTTAAATTTTGGGCCGATGCCGATGTTTCTTCTTTTTGTTATTTAAATATTTTTTGGCGGCTTCAGTTTTCCGCCTCATGCTTTTCAAACTTCCGATTCTTTGTGGGACATGATTTTCAAGCAGCTCTTGGAATCTCACTGAACACTTCCAAACTCGCCTAACGCTGATCTTTCTCTGATACTGTAAAAAATCTCCACTTTGCTTCTTCTACTGAGGAAAGTGCGCGTACGCCCCCTACTGGTGTCTCTTGGCACGCGCCACCATCGACCAATGTCATTTTTATTTGCCGATGGTCGATGGTAGTTAACAAGGCATCGTGCATCCCTAATTTCTAAAAGTAAGAACTAGTATTTTATCAATTATTGTTCACAACATTTATGTGAAAGAACACCATGGATCTGTCTGAACATTTCATTGGGTTCTTCCTTCCATCACATCTGTCCTCTTTAGTGCTGGAATCTCTGGGTTCCTCACGATACGATACGATGTTATCACAATGTGGCGATACTGCGATTATGAATACATTGCTCAGATACTCGTTCACAAAATCATGATATGTCCCAAAGGTTTGTTAAAAGATCATCTTTTACATGTGGTTAGTTTTTCTTTACTTACTTTAATGAAGATGGGATGTTATTATTATTTGGTTGTGTTTATCAGCAAAATAAGTTCAGTTGTTTTGAATGATTTTTTTTCAAATGACTTACTGACCTTTGCTGTTTGGGTTTATTTGTTAGAGCAAAATAAATGAGGTGGTTGTTTTCTCAAGATCATTTGTTTTTCAATTTGGTTTTGTCGACAAAGTAGCAATTTGTAGCATTGTTTGTTGTGCTTTTTCAAAGGCATGTCGTGGTACAAAGTTGGATGAGGGCGTGATCCTCAGAGGTGTGGAAGAGGCAGATGGGCCACTTCAACAGAAGATCCCGGTGGAGGCAGACTTCCTCTACGCCTACGCCACAGCTCCAGGTAACGTCAATGTTCTGAAATGGTCTGTTATTTAAAAACGTTGTTAAGGAAAGAGTTGTTTCTAACTAGAAACAATCACACAAGGCGTTAAATCATAAAGTACATTAAAAAGAAACAGAACTGTTTTTAAACTGGGTTTAAACATGGTCAGAGAAGAAACCTGTCTCACATTTTCAGGAGGATAAAAGCTGCCCCCCCATGTTTAGTCCTGACTCTGGGACCATCAGGAGGCCAGTCCCTGTGCTCCTCAGAGTCCCAGCAGGAGGCCAGTCCCTGTGCTCCTCAGAGTCCCAGCAGGAGGCCAGTCCCTGTGCTCCCCAGAGTCCCAGCAGGAGGCCAGTCCCTGTGCTCCTCAGAGTCCCAGCAGGAGGCCAGTCCCTGTGCTCCTCAGAGTCCCAGCAGGAGGCCAGTCCCTGTGCTCCTCAGAGTCTCAGCAGGAGGCCAGTCCCTGTGCTCCTCAGAGTCTCAGCAGGAGGCCAGTCCCTGTGCTCCTCAGAGTCCCAGCAGGAGGCCAGTCCCTGTGCTCCTCAGAGTCCCAGCAGGAGGCCAGTCCCTGTGCTCCTCAGAGTCCCAGCAGGAGGCCAGTCCCTGTGCTCCTCAGAGTCCCAGCAGGAGGCCAGTCCCTGTGCTCCTCAGAGTCCCAGCAGGAAGCCAGTCCCTGTGCTCCTCAGAGTTGGTTCATATGACATTAACATGTCACAGATGTACTTTGAGGTCATGGAGAGACTTGTAACAAGCAGAGCTGCTTAGTCTTTTCTCTGAGCCACAGGAAGCAGAGACCTGGGTCTGGACTAATGTGATCGTACTTCCTGGTTCTAGTTAGAAGTCAGGAAAGTTCCGTCTCCTACTCTCATCTGTGACAAGCTGATTTTACAACCACAATTTTATTCAATTCAATTAAATTGTATTCATTTCAATTTATTATTGTATATCTCTAAATCACAATAGTAGTTATCTCGGTTAACAAAACCGTTCACCAATTCACCAACACAGATCAGAGAATCAAACAAAAATCACGTAGAGCCTTTGGTCCACAAGGGGCCGATGACTAATGTCCATAAATCTAATGTCATAAATATTTATTTTCTAACTGACTGTGTTAACAGGTTACATAGCCTGGAGGAATGAGACAAATGGCTCCTGGTTCATTCAGTCTCTTTGTGGGATCCTTTCAAAACACAAAGACCTGGAGCTGTTGCACATCATGACTCGAGTGAACAGAAAAGTGGCCTTTGAGTTTCAGTCTAACGTCCCCAAAGACCCGGCGTTAAACGAAAAGAAGGAAATCCCCTGCTTCACCTCCATGTTGACCAAAGAATTCTATTTCACTATAAAACCTTAAATATTAATATTTCAAACCAGGCACATATTCTTGATGCTCTACAGTTCAGGTACATACGATCTCAGCTAAAGACAAACGAGTTCTGTTTTTCTTTTTTCCTTATGACAAAGTATCCAGTAATTATCAAACCTGCTTTTCCTGTAGTCGTTTAACCTGGTTCTGATTGTTTATGGTGTTTGATTATTAAGGGATTTTGGAGAAAGTGAAATGAAATACTCACAGTGAAAATGTGAATGATTTTTGATCAACTTCAATAAAATATGTTTACTGAAGTCATTTGTTATATTTGGACAATTTTAAACACTGACTAATGATTTACATTACAATCATCATAATAAGGAATGGGCCAGAATTCCAGCAGACGTTTGTGAGAAGCTCATGGAAGGACACCAAAAACATGTTCAAAGTATATTAACAACATGTATTTATGACTTTGTAAAAGGTCATTTTCACATTTTGTGGCATTGAGCAAATGTAAAAGCACCTGATCTACATTTGCTACAACTTTAAACACTAGAGGGAGCTGTGCACCTGTTTAAATTGGACAAATTACACATGTGCTACATACACATACAGTGGAGCAAAAAGTATTTAGTCAGCCACCAGTAGAGCAAGTTATCCCACTTTTTAAAGAATTTTTCAAGAATATATTTGCACATTATTGTTGAAAATAAGTATTTAGTCACCTACAAACAAGCAAGATTTGTGGCTCTCACAGACCTGTAACTTCTTTAAAGTGATTGTCTGGAGTTTGTCAGAAAGAGAGACAGAGAGGTACTTGATTTGAAAAAAACGACGCAAGCTCCTCCCCCTTCTTTCTGATTGGTCTACTTTTAAATGTTAATCTGAGAACACATTAAACATATACATTGCACACACACATGCTCCGAGGTTTTCAGAATTATTTGTTAATGTTTTAATGAAAAAAAAAAATCTGATTATGGATATAGGTTCATATATAAATGATTATGGATATAGGTTCAGTATATAAATGATTATGGATATAGGTTCAGTATATAAATGATTATGGATATAGGTTCAGTATATAAATGATTATGGATATAGGTTCATATATAAATGATTATGGATATAGGTTCAGTATATAAATGATTATGGATATAGGTTCAGTATATAAATGATTATGGATATAGGTTCAGTATATAATAGAGGCTTGATTCGGAGGCTCCGCGAAAACAAACAACTGAGCATGAGCAGCTGCGAGCATCAGCGCCGATGATTGACAGCCCTTGGCATGACTCGATTGGTTAACCTCGACAGCACCGTGGATTCTGAACTATAGCTAAGAGCAGGGAAGGCGGGACTTGCCCGTAATATTAGAATTAATAAAATTACTTATTTTATATCAACATTTAAGGAGGTCAATTTAACACATTTCCTAAAATTTGCAATTCATTTAGAGTTACAGACTATCACTTTAAGAAGCTCTTCTGTCCTCCACTCGTTACCTGCATTAATGGCACCTGTTTGAACTCATCTGTATAAAAGACACCTGTCCACAGCCTCAAACAGTCAGACTCCAAACTCCACTATGGCCAAGACCAAAGAGCTGTCGAAGGACACCAGGAAAAGAATTGTAGACCTGCACCAGACTGGGAAGAGTGAATCTACAATAGGAAAGCAGCTTGGTGTGAACAAATCAACTGTGGGAGCAATTATCAGAAAATGGAAGACATACAAGACCACTGATAATCTCCCTCGATCGCAAGATCTCATCCCGTGGGGTCTAAATTACCATGAGAACGGTGATCAAAAATCCCAGAACCACTCGGGGGGACCTGGTGAATGACCTGCAGAGAGCTGGGACCAAAGTAACAAAGGTTACCATCAGTAACACACTACGACGACAGGGAATCAAACCCTGCAGTGCCAGACGTGTCCCCCTGCTGAAGCCAGTGCATGTCCAGGCCCGTCTGATGATCCAGAAGATTGGGAGACTGTCATATTGTGAGATGAAACAAAAATAGAATCTTTAGGGAAAAACTCAACTGCCTTATACCTGAGGCACAGGTATTCTAATTGTCTGCAATTCATTGGAATAATAAAAATACACAACATGCATAAAAGTATAAAAACATAAACCTTATTAAAACCCACAACACACCGACAGTATCAATACATTTCCCAACTTTAAAAGATAAGTTTCCTTCACAAATATGTCATTGAAGAAGGATTGCACTGGAAAATAACTGGTACTTTTGAAATATCTGTATGTGTTGTGTACTCTTGTCTTTGTGTATTACTCCTGACTCAGGTACTTCTGAAATTCCATCCATTTTCTTCCACTTCATCTGTTGCCGGGTCGCGGGGCCAGCAGTCTAAGCAGAGACGCCCAGACTTCCCTATCCACACACACCTCCTCCAGCTCGTCCGGGGGGTGTTCCCAGGCCAGCTGAGAGACATAGTCCCTCAGTGTGTCCTGGGTCTTCTCCAGGGCCTCCTCCCGGTGGGACGTGCCCAGAACACCTCCCCAGGGAGGCGTCCAGGAGGCATCCGGAACAGATGCCTGAGCCACCTCAACTGGTTCTTCTCGACATGGAGAAGCAGCGGCTCTACTCCGAGCTCCTCCCGTGTGACTGAGCTCCTCTATCTCTAAGAGGTAGGGTGAGGAGCTCCTCCGCCACTCTGCGGAGGAAGCTCATAAGGTCATCAGGAAGTCCATCTCTGTCCTGAGCTGTTCCCTGGACACAGTGCAGCAGGTGGGGGACAGGGGGGTCCTGGACAAACTAACATCTATGCTGGACCATGACTGTCAGCTGGAGAGGCCCAGGACCTGGAGAGGCCCAGGCACCTTTTTCCAGTCGAGCACCATGGCCTTGGAGCTGATTCTCCGGGGTGGGGCCCCGGCTGCACCATGCCGGGCTACGTCACAGGTTTCATATTTGTACTATCCATGATGGCTTTGGACTGCGCTTCGTCTGACTTGTCACCCACGACCTGTTTGTAGTGGGAGGCCCTACCAGGGGCACAAAGCCCCAGACAACATAGCTCCCAGGATCATCCAAGTACTCAAACTCTTCCACCACGTTAAGGTGGCCAGGGAGGAGTACTAAAATACTCCTGAAATGTATTTATGTAGTTCTCTTTCTCTTGGGGTAAGTGTTTATAAGTATTTGTTACTTCTGCCTTCTCCTTTTGAGCTCTACACGTTAAAAAGCACATTAAAAACATTTTCTTTTTGTTGTATCAAATGTTTGTGTTGCTCTGAGCTCAAATCTGAACTGAACATTTCACCTGATACATAAAATGATTAAAATAGCTTATCAAAAGGCATTCCTTGTAGAACATTCCTTTACTGCTCCACACAGCTGCTGGAGTTCCATAATCACCTCTCCCTTCAGATATGACAAGGAAATAACCACTGCAACACAAACTTTATAGTGGAATCTATACATTGTGTATCTGTCTCTTGAAGTTAGTTTCTGTTTTTAAAAAATGCTGCGTTACTAATAGAAAACGTGCACAGACAGATAGTTTACTGTATGTATGTTGCAACTTGTCTTGGCTCACTTCCATCCAATCAGAGCTGTACTTTCTGTTTCGAGGTAGTAAAAGCTCTGGCCTTGGTTTGCTCAAAGCACATACTTAAACTCTGTCTGTCTTTTCTCGGCCGAGTCTCTGGACTTCACCACTTCTCCACGACTCTCCCCCACTGTAAAGGTAGGAAGTTAAACATGAGGAGTGGATTTGTGCCTGAGGGAGGGGGTGTTTGAGCAGTGAAAAAAAACCAATTATACATAGATTGTTGTGTGTCTATTCACAGAACCATGGCTGAACGAGACCAGATGGTTGGGGATTCTGTTGATGCAGCAATGTCAGTATTTGATCAGGACTTTTCACTAATTTACAGTGGTATTTAAAACCTGTATCTTTGAGGCTGTTTGGTTCCGGTCTGACTTTGATAAAGCTCTCTGCTGACTCATAGATATAGATAAATACTTCCGGTAAATAAAGTTATGGGGCTGAATCGTATGATCACTCTTTTAAATGTACTGTAGTTATTTTTTTAAACTCCTCGTATGATTTTTAATTTGCTTTGCGTAGCACTTTGAGTTGCCTTGTGTATGAAATCGGATGTGCGATACAATTAAACTTGCCTTGTTCTTAGTATAACAATAATCTCTCCTGTTCAGGTTCTCAGCAGAGGACAAGCAGAGCAGTAAACCCTCGTTCACCGTGATAATACAGTAAGTACTGGTCAAATGGATAATGTCATGTTAAAGGCGCGGTAAAGGTAATTTTTGTTAGCTTAGCATTAGCATCAAAATCACTCGCCCAAATCCACCAAACCCAACTCCAGCACACATGAACGTAATTAATGATATATGAAAGCATTATTACTTTACGGCTCAAGTCAGTGAGTGGTTTTCCTGCCACACTTGACACGTGTTAGCTTCTCCAAACAAACTCGAAACTAGCACAACTTGCAAAACTTGCTTTACAGAGATTTTTTGAGGCCACAGGCTACATCTGGTCCTGTTCAGTCCTATCTGAAAACGCATGATAAATGTTGCTAATGCTCGGGCGGCACGGTGGCTGAGTGGATAGCACTCTCGCCTCTCAGCAAGAAGGTCCTGGGTTCGAATCCCGGTCTGAGTGGAGTTTGCATGTTCTCCCCGTGTCTGCGTAGGTTTCCTCCGGGTACTCCGGTTTCCCCTACCACTAAAAATATGTCCAATAGTTCTAGCATGCGCCTCCTGTACTGGTCCCGCTCCCATCTCTGTGTGGAGTGAGAGACAATTGCCCAAAATTAACAATTGTAAACCGCTTTGAGACTCAGATCTGCAGTGAAAAGGCGGTATATAAATAAAAAACTTACTTACTAACTTGCTAATGTTGATACAGTTGTGTGGGATAAAACGACTCATATTGTTTTACGACTTGTAAGAATGAGCCACTGTTGTAGAATTCCTTTAAACCGTAAAATGAAATCCTAAGCCAGAGCGGGAATACAATCATGAATGTTGAAATGAAGTAAATGGGCAGATAAAAAAAGAACCCAAAGATCTGCTGATTGGCTGAGCGAGAGTGGTCTTCTCTTTTTAGACTTTCTGTAGAAAAATCTCCCAAAAAAAAGACTCTAAATATAAATGTGAAAACTACTGATTAAACTAAAATGCACTTTAGTATATTTTGTAGCGATAGATTTAAATAAATACCCACTTTTTCAGGATCAAGGAGGACAGAGGGCAGAACAGTGGCTTTACCGTAGATTCAGCAAAGTAAGTTCATCCATTACCTATTTTCTTCCGCTTCATCCGTGGCCGGGTCGCGGGGGCAGCAGTCTAAGCAGAGACGCCCAGACTTCCTTATCCACACACACTTCCTCCAGCTCGTCCGAGGGGATGACGAAAGGTGTTCCCAGGCCAGCTGAGAGACATCGTCCCTCCAGCGTGTCCTGGGTCTCCTCGGGGTTTCCAGACGACCCAACCCCCTCAACTGGTTCCAACTGGTTCCTCTTGCCATGGAGAAGCAGTGGCTCTACTCTGAGCTCCTCCCGTGCCTTATAACGTGACTATGCATGAATTGTATATGTATAATTTACTCTGTTTTTATCGTTTGTCTTCTCAGTATCATGGAAAATAACAATAATAGAAAAAGGAACATAGAAAAGTAAGTACAACCAGAACATGTTTTTGTGTTTCCTCTTGTCTTGTAAATATTAGTCTCCTCATTCTTTACTGGGCCATAACTCTGATTCTTGATTTCCATAATAATTATGATCTTTGAAAAATGGCGTATTACGCAAAATTAAAACTAAAATGTCCTATAATTTCCTTTTCAGATGCACAGTTAAAGTTTATTTATCTATTTATTTTTTCAGGATTGAAATTAAAGAACAGGACCAGCTGGATGCCGCACCGTCCAAGTGAGTAATGGGAGGATTTAGAAATGTATGAATGTATTGATTTTTGGGAATCATTCATAACGTATGATAATAATGTAAACCGTGAGCGGGACGAGCACAAGATCTTTAAGAAGTCTGATTTTTCACCAATGTTTTATTAACAGTGAAGAGTTGGGCAATCCCTGTGATCTTTGGACATTCAACAATCAACACATTTGTGATAGTTGTTTAATGATCAATGTCATTCTCAAAACACAAAACAAAACTATATATAAGTCTTCATACTGTTGGGACATTCAGAGTAATCCAGACGGAGTGGGAAGAACTCAAACTTATAACCCACCCCAGTGTCAGATATGTTTAACTGAGTAGTTACTTCCTGCTTTTCAATACATCCAAATACATCCAAATACATCCAATACAAATATGGACCCATCCTCCAGCGTTACAGCAGAGGCCCTCCTGTGTCCTCAAGGTTTTACTGTCATCACATGATAACAATGCATCTCACCAACTTTTATTAACATTTTCAAAACTAAATCATTGGGTAATAAATGTATTTTGACGCGAGACATGTAGTAGTAGTAGTAGTAGTAGCAGTAGTAGTATTTATTATTCTGCCATTATAAACCTTGGATCTTGAGCTCACATCTGCGCTCAAAGATCTTTTAAACTAAAACTTGCAGATTAAGAATTGTAGAGCTAAATAATGCCTGACCCAAAGGTCGTAAAGAATATACTACATTCAGATTTCACAACAACCAGTCGATCCACCACTGTTACCATCCAATCGGTGTCTGCGTGAGTACGTTTGAGAGAATTGTCACGACCTCAACAAGAGGTTTCCTGTAAACAAAGAACAGACTTCCTGTCAATGCTGTGGTGACGTTTTTAGATACATCGAGCTGAGTCTGAACCAAAAGTGTGGTCGTGCTTTCTCTGAGGAATAGCTTTGACTGTGGGACAGAGAGATTAGTTAACTCTATAAAAGCACAATGACGGCACAATCAAAAAGCACTGCTGTGTCCCACAATGCACTGCTGTGTCCCACAATGCACTGCTGTGTCCCACAATGCACTGCATCCTCACAGTCTAATTCCTGTTAGGAAACTCGTGTGCATCGGAAGTATCATTTTAACTAAACCGCAGGAGTGGTGCGTGCACAGGGTGGGTACCTAAGGGTACCTCACGATACGATACACGATACAAAGCTCACGATAACGATATTATCACGATAACGATATTATCACGATAACAATATTATCACGATAACGATATTATCACGATAACGATATTATCACAATATGACGATTATCGATACATTGGTCAGAAATTTACAATTTGCCAATTTATGGCATAAATAAGATAAAAAATACTCTTTATTTCATGATAAATTGAATGGAGATGCGTAATGTAGCCATATATTCAGTATTGATACCAATATTAAAAAAATATTTGTAAAAAAAAAAAAGACAAAAAAAGATATATATATATATTTTTTTTTCAAATTGATATTGATACTTGGCAAATGCATATCAATAATCGAATTGCGGGAGAAAGTATCGCGATATATCGTCACACCCCTACAGTATGCGTGCATAGAGCCTAATGTATTAGATTCTGTTGTTGAGGTCAGAGTCAGAGCAGCTGCTGAACGGCTCCTGCTCTGGACCCAAAGATAATGGATTTATCTTTATTTAAAACCAGGCAAACCTCGTCCTCAGTGAGAGCAGAACCAACGGTCCAGATCTCAGACGATGATTGGAAATACGACCAGGACTTCCCGTCTATAGGCGTCTGCATGATCATCAACAACAAGAACTTTCACCCCTTGTCAGGTTAGATCTACAAGTGCAACTCGGGAAATTAGAATATTGTTCATTTATTTCTGAAATCCAACTTAAAGTCTATAATTGATAATGACACAGACTCAGTACATACAAAGTCACATTCACCAAGTCTCTGTTTGTCATAATGTTAATGATTATGGCTTACAGGCTCTATATTTTCACAATATTCTTACTTCCATCCAGCCATTTTTGTCCCCTTGATCCAGTACTGGCCAATTCACATCTTACTTGCTTAGATTATTATTTATGACAAGCAGTGAGCCAATTATTAACTTCAAAAAAAGTCTGGATCTCACTTTGCGTGTCATTTATGAGTTTTACAGAAGGACATGGACTTTAGAACGATCATACCATGTTCAGATCATTGTGTGTGAAGCGTCTTGCCTTAGGACACAACAGCAGCTTACACTTTAGAGCTGTCCCACTAAAGCTGGCCGCAGTCTGCAGCCGGGTCTCAAGCTTTGTTAATTCTGGGGGCTGCATGAGGCCGAGTCTGGGTGAAGCAAAGTATATGAACACTGGAGAAACGGATCCACGCAGAGATAGAATCCAAACTCTACTTTGCACACGCAGTTCATCTCCTGGAAAAATATAAAACACTGCTACGTCTCAAACTGTGCCCTCTCCTTCTTAAACATTAACTGTAGAGAAAGTAAAGGTTTGGGCTCGAAACAGAGACACAAAGAAGAAAACCAAGAATCAAGCGTTTGTGGAAAGTTTTATTGTTCATTGTTTTTTATCTGTGACTTTATAATCATGAAGGTGTGTTTTGACCAAATAATTACTTTTATTGAATATGAGTTTGATATAATTCTGTGTATGTAAAAAACCTGGACAATAAGAAATCACTGGGTTTAAAGTGATTGTCTGGAGTTTGTCAGAAAGAGAGACAGAGAGGTACTTGATTTGAAAAAAACGACGCAAGCTCCTCCCCCTTCCTTTCTGATTGGTCTACTACGTCTACGTAACACATTTAAATGTTAATCTGAGAACACGTTATACTTATACATTATTAAAACACATGCACAGAGGTTTTCAGAATTATTTGTTAATGTTTTTATGCACAAGATGGCGCCGAGTCAGGGCGCCGCAGTGAGAGCTCTGTTGTGCACTTCTGGTTCAGAGAAGTGAAACTAACAACCTCCAGCTGAACGCATCGAAAACATGTGAACTGGTCTACGACTTCAGGCGCAATAGTTCTCATTTGCCTGTTTCTGGGTTTAACTCTGTCTAACCTGAAATGGGTTAAAAACACTGACCGAGTCGTTAAGAAAGCTCGTCAGCGTCTCTACTTCCTGTGGAAACTTAGAGAATTTACCACTAACTCTAAGATTCTGCTTAACTTTTATCGCTGCACCATTGAGAGTTTACTTGTTAGTTCTGTGTCTGTGTGGTTTGGAAACATCACAGATAAAGAAAAGAGAGCTTTAAACAAGGTGCTCCGCTCTGCAAAGAGGACCGTGGGCTGTGAGACCAGAGAGAGACCAGAGAGAGACCAGAGAGAGACCAGAGAGAGACCAGAGAGAGACCAGACAGAGACCAGAGAGAGACCAGAGAGAGACCAGAGAGAGACCAGAGAGAGACCAGAGAGAGACCAGAGAGGGACCAGAGAGGGACCAGAGAGAGACCAGAGAGGGACCAGAGAGAGACCAGAGAGGGACCAGAGAGAGGGACCAGAGAGAGAGACCAGAGAGAGGGACCAGAGAGGGACCAGAGAGAGAGACCAGAGAGAGACCAGAGAGAGACCAGAGAGAGACCAGAGAGAGACCAGAGAGAGACCAGAGAGAGACCAGAGAGAGACCAGAGAGAGACCAGAGAGAGACCAGAGAGAGACCAGAGAGAGACCAGAGAGAGACCAGAGAGAGACCAGAGAGAGGACCGTGGGCTGTGAGCTTCCTGTTCTGGAGGTTCTTTATAAATCCAGACTTTTAAACAAAGCTCTTAGGATTGTTAATGACTCTTCTGGCCACCCTGGGAAAGCCATGTTCCAGCTTCTTCCCTCTGGCAGAAGATATCGCTCTCTGAGATGCAGGACATCTCGACATGCTAACAGCTTCTTCCCACGAGCTGTTATCAGTATGAACAGAGCACTTTAATGATTTGCACTTTGTATTGATACTGTTTTAGTCGATCGTTTTCACAGTGACATTTGTTTTACTGTTTTATTTGTTTTTGTTTTTTCTGTACATTTAATGTTGTTTTTTGTCTGTTCACGGTGCACACTGAGGACTTTTGCTAATGTATTCAAATGTGGTTTTACTAATAAAAATGAATCTGAATCTGAAAAAAAGCGATCGCAGCAAACCCGGAAGTAGCTATTTACATTGATTGCACATTATAGAAACATCTGCAGAGGATCTGATTATAGATATATGTTCAGTATATAAATGATTATGGATATAGGTTCATATATAAATGATTATGGATATAGGTTCATATATAAATGATTATGGATATAGGTTCATATATAAATGATTATGGATATATGTTCAGTATATAAATGATTATGGATATAGGTTTATATATAAATGATTATGGATATAGGTTCAGAGCAGTGGCGGCTGGTGGAATTTTCTACTGGGGGGCTATGAATATGATGACTAGATATATACCAGCAGGGTAGGGATGCTTTCTGATCCCTACCCTGTAGCTTTCATCCAGCTGGGATGAAATATTTATCTTCCCAAACATAGCTAATTTGAGGGCATTTTGCATGTGGATACCAGTCTGCTCATGCTTCTTTGCCTTTTCTAAAAAGTGCTTCAGATCAGTCATACCTGTCTTGATCCATGCTGGGTCAGATCCTGATGTTTGAAACAAGAGGCATGGAAAGCAAAATAAAGCATTAGCCTCGCTACATGCTGCTAGCCAAGATTTGGCGCTGAACCAGGTCCTGGAAAAAGTACGAGTGTACCGTCTCCCCCTGTCGCTGGACTGCTGACTAATGGTAATATTTGGCTGATCAGGTCCAAGCTCTTTAACCTCAACCTTCTCCTGGTATGATCTTCTCTCAAACGGTATTGTTTTGAGTGATCTAACTGAATTATTCTTTTTCTCGTTCTCCATTTTGCGTCTCTTTACGTTCGTCTCAAACTCCCACAGCTTGACCTGTCAATCACTGTAAACGGACGTCACAGACAGTGACAGTACAGGTCGCGGGCGATCCCGCCCCCTCAGGGCGCACTTCTCCTGCGCCCCCAAATCGTCTTTTTTTTTTTTTTTTTTCTTTATTGAACAAATCAAACAGGCTTAAATATTTAGTACAATCTCAGTTTCGTGCCGTATAAAAACAAAAAACACAAACAAAAGAACAAATTAAGAACGTAGAAAGCCACATTACTGAGTCACAAGGGTCAGAGGTAAATTCACAATATTTTTGTACAACCGAATTGCTTTCGTTGAATTACAAAGCTTCAAAGAGTCCCTAACGATTGACCGTTCGCTCAGAAATATCCTAAACAAGGGTTTGGAAAAACTAAATTTACATTTGTGAATAAAAAATACAGCCATGAGAATAAAATTGTTAATTGTAAATTCTTTGTTTTTGTCTTCCAGTAGTACTCCAAATTTTATGTCATGATAATTAAAGTCCATAATACCTAAAGTATTGCCAACAGACCAAGCACAGAAACTATCCCAAAATATTTTTGAATGCACACATGTGAAAAAAAGATGTTCTTCTGTTTCAATATTGGTATCGCAAAAAACACACAAATTATCGTCAGTATTGAATTTGGAGTGTAAAAATTCTTTGCACGGGTATACATTGTTCAGTAATTTAAATCTAACTTCTTTAGCTTTAGGTAGAACAGGGAATTTAATGTAACTGCATCTGAAAATCTTGACATTGTGTTTAGGGAGATCCTTCATAATATATTGTCTTCTTAACGGCAAAGGGAAGTATTTATTGGACAATGCTGCTCTTAGAAATTTGTTGTTACATTTTTTGTCCGTGAAATTACAATTTAGCACGAGTAGAGGATACATTTTTGGAACCAATTGTGTATACATTAAAGATCCCCTAATTGCACAGACAAGAGCTTGTGGAATAGCCTTAACTACTTGTAAAAATTGTTGCCTAGTGGTAATCACATTGTATTTCTGGGTGAAATCAATAAACTGAAGAAAATTACCTGTATCATCCATCAAGTGTAAGACTGACCATATTCCATTTTCATGCCAATGCTGATAATAAAAGGATTTCCTTCTAATCAGAATATATCTATTATTCCATATAGGTGTATTATGTGGCGAAAAATTGTGACAATATATCAATTTCCAATACTGGAGGACTTGCTCATGAAATTTGGATAATTTAGTAGGTAATTTGGATATTTCAAAGTCACATTGTATCAGAAATTCAATTCCACCGAAATTCGAGAATATTTTTGAGGGGAGACTGAACCAGAAACTATTTAGATTTGTAATAAAATTCTGTAACCATCGAAGTTTTAAGGCACCATTCATGGGATCAAAATCAATAGCATTCAAACCACCCTCCTCTACAGATTTTACAATATCGTTTTTCCTGATATAATGATATTTATTTTTCCAGAGAAAATTGAAATTAATTTGGTTAATTTGCTTCATCATTTTTGAATTCACATTCAAAGTGTATGCAGGATAAATTAGTCTAGATAGACCTTCCATTTTAGAGAGCAGTAACCTTCCAAATATAGAGAGGTCTCTTTGTAACCACATATTCAAAATGGATTTACTTTTCTTAAGCACACTTTCAAAATTATTCTTTTCTCTGTCCGCTTCATTTTTTGTTATGCTAATCCCTAAATATTTGATCTGATCTTTGACAGGTATACCACATAATGATATTGGAGGGTGGTCATGAATGGGCATTAATTCACATTTTTTGATATTTAGATAGAGCCCAGAGGCTTCTGAAAATCTATTTACAACTTGGAGAGCAATTGGTATTTGTGCCGCATTTTTTAAAAACAATGTGGTGTCGTCGGCAAGCTGACTTATAGCAAGTGGG